ATGGGTAAGATGGGTTGGATGGGAGAAATGGAGGGAGGTGTTGCCTAAACAGCTACAAAGGCGCAGCACCTCTAGTGCAGGCCGGCCGTTTCAGGAAGTGGGGTAATAGACCAATGATTTGTTGTGTTTTCCGTGTTTAGAGGGGGAAAGTTACAGTAAGTGGAGTAGCCAAGTAGGTCGCGCCGGTCGCCGGGAGTCGTCGGGCGACGCAGATGCCATCTAAAGCGCACCCAGGGAGGTCGCGCGACGGCGCCGGCGATCGCCAGGGTCGCCGGTTTAGAGGCACCCACCCGACTATTGACTGCACACAAGCCACACGCCGGCCGGTTAGTAGTTGGGTGGGTGACCACCAGCGAATCCCGGCTGTTGTATGTTTTTGCTTCTTCTGCCTTTTCGCCTACATTTCTCTATTTTTTAGCCAAATATTATTAGATTTACATCGATAACGAGCCTATCTTACTTACACAACAAATGACCCCACACTAATTAATAGAAACATTAGACCTGTCAACACGGTTCGAATATTCCCCAACGCCGGCAACACCACAAGAAATTTGAACGTCAATTTATAATTCATAGTACAATTGGAAGTGGGACCTGCTTGACGAGTCGAAAATCAAACCAAGGTCTGCATTCTTCGCATAGATTGTACTGCAAGAAATTATCTTATCAACCGCCGTGAGAACGTTGTTGAAAGCGTTTCACACATCTCGTGAGATCTTTGCTGATGACAACGCGCGAATCCGGGCTCCCCAGTACCAGAAACAGATAGGAACTGGCACCAGGGCCACACAAAAGCGGCTAGAATGGTAGTGGCATGAGCGACTCCGAGACCTTTTACCATCTTATTTGCGAAGAGAGGGAAAGCAGCACCGAAATCACTCCGCATCGATCCATTGATCCCCATTGCACTGTTTGCCATGCTTGTGTAGTTGTCGACAATGTAGTTGAATCATTGGATGAACAGCAAGTACATGCCACAGCCAATAAAGGAGATGGCAAATATAGGGATAGGGCTTAGCCATGAGATTTTGGGCGTGGCTGTCCAAGGCAAGCCAGAACATGCCCACGGGCACCATGATGCCTCCGACAATCATGGGTGGCATTCGGCCCTCCGGGATAAAGGTTCCATTGGGAGCGCGACAATGATGACGGAATTAGACCTGGTTGTGTATGATTAAGCCGATAGTTCCACCGCAGATCATGGCGAGCAGAGGAGGATATTTCAAACTGATAGACCAACCGCGGTCTTCCCCAAATGCAACTGGATACGTCTGATAGAACGGGAAGAGTACACCGTAGATGAAAGATTGATAGAGGGTCAAAAGCTGAGTAGGCCATTTTCGACCAAATCGCTCTGAAAGAGGACCAAATGTAAGAAAACGAAAGATATAGCCCTAAATATACACATTAGTCTGCTTCTCACAGTGAGACAGTTGAGCAGATGCAATGTACAGGCCAGGCCAACGTACTACAAGGAATAAAGTCGTTCCTAGCACCGCAACCTGATGACTGATATTGAACTCCTGCATAAATTTCTCGTTCCCAGTTTCGAAAATTCTGCTAGTCACAGTCCCGATTAAATTCCTCTCGAAATCGACTAGGGCGGGATGATTGCTTTCACGATCGGTCGGATGGGCCACTGTCCCGCTGAAAAGACTCATTATTTGGTATTTGGATTGGATCGAGTGTTGGTAGTAATAAATATATATCAACTTCTCATGTAAATTGTCGTTTTTATATAAAAACAACAAGTGGAGTCACCTTTGTTCCAAATCTTTGATGTCAGTATCTGGACATTTTCACTCGGTTGTCTCCCCGGGCACATATATACATCCTTTACTTGCCGGAAGGAAGATAATGAGCAGCTCGTCAAGACCGTATACTCTTATGTCCATCATATTGATCGAGATCTAATTCCTCTTGTCCAAACTGTCATTTAGCCGATCGATGTATACAATCGGGTACGATGGGACACGCCGGTGCACTGTAATGGGATCGCCGGGATCATTCCCCGAAGAGGGGGCCGAACTCCGTCCGGTGTCTGAACAAAGGCCGAGTTGCCGACAGGTGACCTCGGAGACTAACCGGTCTGGGAAGTGTATCTCTAATATAAATAAATCCAAAATGAAGCAATGATCAGCTAGAAATACTGGCCAAAAAAAGAATAGAAAAAAAGGAATATAGCAGAGCAGAACTTTCACATTTTATCGTTATGAGGTAGAGTTGGATGTGGTGTGGTGTTGGTTCCGTAACTACACAATAGCCCCAATGACATGTAAATATTTCACCAGGTGTCTTGGGAAGAGTATCCTTCGAATTGACGTAAGGTGAACACCAGCTCCTCAATTTTTTTCTGGTATTTTTACGCAGTAGTAACCTTACAGTACGCCACAGGGGTAAATAAAAAAAAAACAGAAAAAGAAAATCTCAATCAACCTTAGAGCTTTCATAGAGCCGCTCTGCCTCCTTGGCCATGGTTCGCATTCCCTCGAAAATTGTATCTGCCTCAAGAGACCTCCCAGAAGTTTTAATCCAAGTTCCGACTCCTCAATCAGCCGTTCTGTACCTTGTACGTCGGTCGTGGCACTCGGCCGATCCAGAAGATAAATGTGACCGTCTTAATTTCCAGAACATGTGACATCACGAACAAGCCACAGTACCATGGACATTGCGCGCACGCCCTGCATTTGACAACAGGCCATAATGGGTATAGAGCGAGGAGAAGCTAAAGGTCGCCGGGAAGGCTAAGCCCGATGGGTCTCCACATCAGAGGTATCAGAGTACATCGGGATCGGCGAAGGAAGCCGGCGGAAGACACGAGAGATCACAAGGGAGGAATGAAGGCAGATCATGAAGGATTCTTGCTCGGTGAAAGGGAATAAAGCCCTTAGCTCACTGATTCGACCCATGGATAAGCGGGGCTGGCTTTCTGTTCGGGATAGTGACTGGAATGTGTCAACAGCGAGAAGATCGCAATGCTCATTCGAAATAATGGGTCGATCTAAGAAAGCATTGATTCGGTGGAGTGTAAGATGGGAGGTGTGAATGAGGGCATTGAACACCGCCCATAAGTTGCGAGAAGCATCTGCTTCAGCGCCTTGATAGTTGGTTACGCAGCGGAAGCTATGTACCTCAGCTGCGGGTTCCACAATGCAAGAGTCTATACTTTGGATATCAGACCATATAGCGCGAGAAGTTGCTGCGTCGTTGTGGGTTACTCGGAGGAGTTGGCGCCCAAATCGTGCAGCTACAGAAGAGAGTTGATTGTGCCTTTACGAGAGGTGGCCATGGCTATGACATTGAAGAGATTGGTACATATTTTGGGACTAGTGTGGGCCTGGGGCTGGTCTGCTTACCTCTCGGCAGCCTCTTAATTCAGGGAATTGCGTTGTGATACGGGGATCATCGAATGCAATAACTGGAACCTATTTGGGTCAGAACGTGGATTCCTACTGTGGATCATCTTCATCGACTGACCGATGCATTCAAAATCAAAGACTGGTAGACAATAAACGACTTCTTCAGTCAATACGATGTGTGATAGCCCAGTGATAAAGATTCGTCGGGGAATACGACATACAGTGGACCACCAGCACCGACGACGTGCATCCAAGCAACTCGTTTGCCCGTCTTCTGTATGTAGGTTCATTGCGATAGTCAGAGCCTTGTTGGCTCGGACCCTCATCTTTGGAACATTCCCATGCCGGCAATATTCATAGACACCGAGTAGTGCCAATGAAAGAATAGGCTCTATCAGTTGAGGAATCCCGCAATGCAAGGCACTTCGAGGGCCTTTTGCTAGATCAATGTGGGATGGAGATCCAAGCCTTTCCTCTAGGGACTCAAGCGCAGAGCGTGCGAGCAAATCGGCAAAGGAGCGCCGCAGTGCGACAGCGTGGCCTTCTCCTGTGACGAGTGCATCGCCTGGTGGAGGTATTAAAACCAAGATCGCGGCAGCAGCGAGCCCAAGAGGCGAGGTAGGGCAGGACGGTGGATCAAAAGCGTTCGCGTAAAATGAGCGAATATGCAGACTCTCGCATTTGTCTTCGAACTGCAGTATTGCAGGGCGAGGTAGAAGGGCAAATACGGATGGATAAAAACGTAGTATGCGTTTATGCTTGGGAAATCAAAAAATGATCAGTCTTCCAGCTCGGTGAATGGTTTTATAGATTCCACAAACAGGTCTTCATCGCAACGATATGCTCTAATGGTTTGAGTAGAGAATTCTAAAGCAGCCAGTAGCTCTTGTGCTTTATTTATCTCAATGACTGGCGTTGGAAACCGAACGTCACAATTTTCCAACAATGTATTGGGCGTACGGGGACCCGGGTCAACGCGTGAAAATGATGAACACAAAGAGGAAGCCACAGTGGATCTGACAGAATGAACGACATTAGCATGATTCGACTGTAAGTGAGCTCATTTCTGAGCAAGTTGCTGAGCTGCCAGAGGGCCTCGTCGGGCGCCACCTCGCCGGCTGGGTTGAAATCGACATTCTTCCTGGCGGCTGGAGCACTGTGTTATGGTTAACGTGAATGCCAGTCAGTTTTCTGGGAACAAATCTCATCTCACGCTCGAACATGGCTTCTGCCCATCACAGCGAGTCTTCGAGGCTCGGCTGTTATTATCATCAATATGGAGCCCCTCGCATAAATCTCCGGAGATCTCACATACCAAGCCAGACATGCGACCTTCACTAGCCGCGAAGTCGGGTGCATCATGAATGCCTTTTTCTGCAATTTCCCCGTCTCTCTTTGTTTGTCGAGAAGAGGGTGAAGAGGGGCAGATTCGGCGTCTTCGGTCTTTGATCCGTCGGAATCGCCACTTTTCTCCGGCTCCACTTGGTCTCTCTGGCGCCATTCATTACCTTCGACCTTCGAGCTACTAGGTATTTAAGACCCTGCTGTTTGTACAATTAAATCTCCGTCACTCTTATATCTCCCCTTCCTCTTCTTCATCAACACCATCAGAGTCTCACTTGGGCTACGACTATTAGCATGGCTCAAGGAACGATCACCCCTGTGTCGGCCAGCGCCGAATACTATAACCTGGGTTCATTTGGCCATCCCATCACAACAACTAGCCCCGACACCCAGACTTGGTTCAACCGTGGCCTCATCTGGGTATATTCTTTCAATCATATGGAAGGCGCATATTGTTTTGAACAGGCAATTGCGCATGATCCTGAATGCGCGATGGCTTATTGGGGCCTGGCATATGCCGTGGGTCCGAATTATAACAAGCCATGGGAAAAGTTCGACCAAGGCGACCTTCACACCTGCGTGCAGCGCGGATACGATGCCTCTCAAAAAGCGAAGAAATACGCCGTGAATGCAACTCCGGTCGAACAAGCGCTGATCGAAGCGATGCAATCTCGATACCCCACCAACCAGCCGGCCGAGGATTATGCTGCCCTGAACAAGAGCTATGCCGAAGCTATGAAACCGGTGTACGAGAAGTTCGGTCGCGATCTTGACGTGGCGACAACTTACGCAGACGCGCTGATGAACATGACTCCCTGGGCGCTATGGGATTTGTTTACAAGCCAGCCGAATCCTAAAGCTCCCACAATGGAGGTGAAAGCCGTGCTTGAGAAGGCGCTCGGGCAGGTGGCCGACGGCGCATATCTCAACCCTGGATTGCTTCACCTTTATATCCACTTTATCGAAATGTCACCCACTCCTGAACTTGGAATCAACGTTGCCGACCATTTACGTGACCTGGTTCCCGATGCTGGTCATATTAACCACATGCCTACGCATTTGGACATCCTCATCGGGGATTGGAGGCGCTCCATCTCTTCAAACCACCGGGCAACGCTAGCGGATGAAAAATACTTCCATAAGCAAGGGGCGAAGAATTTCTACACCTTCTACAGAATGCATGACTATCACTCCTTGATCTACGCCGCGATGTTTGCAGGCAAATCCAAAGTTGCCCTTGACGCGGTCACGCGTATGGAATCGACGGTGCCGGAGGACGTGCTTCGAATTCAGTCCCCACCCATGGCTGACTGGTTGGAGCAGTTCATGCCCATTCGCCTACATGTTATGGTGCGCTTTGGTATGTGGGAAGAGCTTAAGCAGAAGGAGCTTCCTCATGATCAGTCACTCTATGCCGGGACTACCGCCACCACTCACTATGCTCGAGGCATTGCATTCGCCGCCACTGGAAACGTGTCGTCGGCCCGAGCGGAACAAGAGCTCTTCAAGCAAGCGTGGTCCCGGGTGCCTGAGACGCGTCGCGCGTATAACGGCAAATTTGTCGACGTGCTCAAGGTCGCTGAGGCCATGCTGGAAGGAGAGATTGAGTACCGCTGCGCCAACTACACACAGGCCTTTGGTGCTCTTCGTCGTGCGATTGACCTCGAAGACAAACTGCCGTACAGCGAGCCTTGGTCATGGATGCAGCCTGTTCGTCACGCTTACGCTGCCTTACTGATGGAGCAAGGTCACTTGGAAGAGGCAGCACAAATATACCGTGCTGACCTGGGCTTGGATAAGTCTGTTATCAGACCGCGACGCCATCCGAATAACGTCTGGTCCCTTCAAGGCTATCACGAGTGTTTGATTCGCCTAGGAAGGATAGACGAGGCTGCTGTTATTGAGCAACCGGCTAAGCTTGCTCTTGCAGTAGCCGATGTTCCGATCAAGGCGTCATGCTTTTGCCGTTTGGACACCTCCCAGGCGCCGCAGGTCCTTGGCGGAGGCTGCTTGAACGGCAAGTGCTGTTGAATGATTACAGGGCTTTTTCTGTAGTTTTTCGCCAGGAATGTTCCAAATCCTAGATAGCGTTTGTTTACACTTCAATTAGTGCCGAAATTCCACGATGTATTCTACATATATCATGGCTTAGATAGACAATTCTTAACTCATATTGGAGTCGATGCACAATTACTGATTCCCACGTTCCAGCTCGGTTTTATTTCGTAGGCGATACCCTAATGTGGGAAGGACGATGTTCTAATGGGCTGGGATTTGGGTCGATCCTGTGATAATCGGATGAAAAATTTTGAAAGGTGACTCTGATCAAGATCGAAGCGCAGTACTGAGCAAGATGTTCTGCTCTTCCATTATCAACAGTCCCCGATCAGCTTATCGGAAAATTATCCGATATCATGAATGTGGGCTAAAGTGTGAATATTTATATATTGCTACACATACATCCTTGAATGAGAAGATTTTGTCGAAACAAAGACTTGTCTTTGATTCTTACTTTGTGAATCAGTCCCAGTGGTTATCTATAACCTCGGGTTCACCGATACAAATTTGCATAAACTACTGGACAATAAGGTTTATGTGGCTCATGGAACTGCGTATGGATCGGAGCATCCAGGATGGTTTCGTTTGGTGTTCTCGCATCCCACGCCATGGCTGGGAGAGGCAATGAATCGCATTGTTAAAGTTCTGCGACAAAGTCTGATGCTTCCTTCTGTCCGATAAGTGGCATTGCTCGTTCTTCCTTGTCTTCAGACATGTTACTTTGTGGCTGCTCTTGAATGATTCTTGCATTTGATCCGTTTTTCTTTTTGTAGTTGTTTAGACTCGTCTTTCTGCCCCCCATAAAAAGAGTAGGTATCTAGCAAGAATGTGCCTAAGGGATGAGACGGGCAGTGATTTATGTGAAACCCTTCTAACTAAACAAAGGTACATTTGTTATATTGCTTAGCTAGCTTGCTGTACGGCCTTTGATCGGGAATGACTGAACAAGGGAAAAAAAAAAAGAAAAGAAAAGAAAAGGCGAAAAGGAAGCATCTCGGAAGAGAAATTCACTGCGGAATGAAGGAGGGGTGTTTTTCTGGGTAATGTACAGTGGAATATCTATTGCTGCCAAATACTCGGCCGATCCCGCATCATAATTTAGCAGTTGGAGATGACCACCAGTATATCCCGGCTATTTTTTGATTTTTCCTTTGTTACTTTTCCTCAGTGAATTCCTGGGTGGTCTACGGAGTATGTTTGCATGTTTGAATGATTGGTAAAATAATCTATAATTGATGGGCTGTTTGGTACAAGAAATCGGTAACAACTCATGCGCACTATATATAATCCTTGCAGAGGGGAGTTATGGGAAGAGAATGACTCCAGTTGACATCCCATGTTACAGGTAGATTCTGGTGTACGTGAGATTATTCTGCTGTGTTCTTTTGTGACTTTCCATACTACCTAAAATGCGCCCAACACCACTTCAAAGCTTGGTTCTCTCCCTTGGCTCGCCGGCCCACGTGGGTGAAATCGTCGAGTTTATTGAGCTAGACAGGCTTGCTGTATAAGATGTTACGATTCCGCAGTAATTTGTTCCTCAGGTGGCGGTGTTTGCCGCAGCACATAGCCATACAACTATGAAGTTGGTATTGGGTACACCCGTCTCTTCAAGAATACTACCTAGATTGAGCCCTACAACAATACAATAGGTAGGTGAGGTATCTGTGTAATTGATCAACGATACGTCTTTGAGTTGCGTATTCTGATATAGTACAATTAGATTGGAATCAAAGCAAAGGAGTGTCTATGAGTTCGGACAATCTAATCTTCCAAGCCCAAGCCCATGGAATAGCCGACCACGTCAAGGATACATATAGCGCTGATCCTCTAAGCCTGGGTGACATCCGAGTTGGAGTACTTGCAGTTGGTGCCATCGGGGCCGGAGCCGCTCTCCTCGGGCTCGCTGCCGTCAGAGTTACCCTCGTAGGTAACGCAGACATCGTCGACATCGGATACAGTCACGCCGCGGAGAGTGGCAGTGTCATCGTAGTTGGCGTTGATACCTGATATTGTTAGTTGGCGGAGGTTTTGACAACAGATGATAAGACTTACCAGCAATCTGCTTGCCGCTGACGGCGTACACGTTGTCCAGGACGACGTGACGAGTGGGCATGTCATCGCAGTTACCACAGCTGCGGTAGAGCTTGCCGAAGTCCTCGACGTAGAAGCCGGAAACCTCGAGAGTACCGCCACCGTTCTGCTGGAGGACCTTGTCTTCGGCCTTGAAGGCACCACCACCAGTGATGGTGGTGGTCTCGCCGTCCTCCTGCTCCTTGATGGTGAAGGCATCCTCACAGACGGCGCTCCACCAGACGTTGGTCAGAGTGCAGGAGCCGAAGCAGTGCACACCTTCGATCTGGTTAGGACCGATGATGACGTTGGAAAGGGTGCCACCGTTCTCGATCTCGAACACGGCATCGCTGTCGTCACCCTCTTCCTGACCGGTGCAGGAGACACCACGGTCGTACATGACCATACCACCGTCGAAGTTCTCGCCGGCAGCAATGGTCTTCACTGCGCTAAGAGTGGAGGTGCCGGAGGAGGCGGGCAGCTTGGTGGTAACACTGCCGCTACCAGCGGGACTGCTGGGAGCCGGAGTAACAGACGGGGCCGCAGCGCTAGACGAGGCTGGGGCGGCAGAGGCCATGGCCGAAGCGGCAAGGACAGCGGCGATCTCGAACTTCATTGTGAATTATATTGGTGAAAAAGACGAATGAATGGACTTGATCAACAAGATTTGGAGCGAAAGACTGTGAACTCGTCGACGAACCGGTCGTACAACACAATAAAGAGAGAATGGCTTGAATGAAAAGATGAACAACTTCTAGGATGCGCCCTCTGCGATATATATATGCAGAAGCATCCCGTGTCTCAAGGCCTAGACGGACGAATTTCATCAACACCATACACAAAACTGACGATCCATATCGACTACACGGATCAATAAGGGAGGGAAGTCTCTCACTGAAACCACCGTGGTGAACCACTATGACCGTTGGACTAGGTATTGATCTTCGAGGTCACGGCCTATGAGCCCACTGAGCACTCAGAGCATTATCTCCTTGTCAAAATGGAGATATCGGGCCACAATCCTGGCAATCTGGCGGGCCAGTCCGACGAATATGAGAGCAGACTACGCGCCCAAGCAGGCCAAGGGTCTCTTTGATAGTTGACAAGAAGAGGAAAGATCGTCGGCCAAGCATTTCCCTACTGGCAAAGCCAAGCCCCGGTGAAACGCTTCTTCGAATGCCAAGCTGTGGGACAACTTCACAGCCACACTCCCCATGCCTTTCTCAGTTGCTCCGTGTGTTGATCCAGCCTCCTTTAATTAAATCGGGGGTATGGCCGCGTAGTTGTTGATGTCCTATCGACCCGAAAACGGCAAGTCGAGGACGGATTGTCACAAGTGTGAAACAAATCCTGCTCCGTGCCCATTGCCAAGTAGGGCTTCCAGCTAATCAAAACCGGGGAGTTCGCACGTTCAACTTCTACCATACCTACGGTGTACTCAGTACCTTTGTCGGCGGCTAGCTCCAGCAGGATTGAATTCTCAAACATCCAGGCCTGAGGACCGCGTAAAGGACTACCCACTGCGGCTAGAACTGACTCCCGCGCGTTTCCGCCAATTGCTCCACTACGCGGAAGTCAATGGGTTGATGCGAGCACTGCGGTGTAGAGTAAGTAGCAACAAGTCTCCTTGCGGGAGAACCCTCCAGAGACGCTGGCATGATATGGCACCAGTTTTGATTCGGATCAAATTAGCAGAGTACGCGACAATCCTGTGGCCAGCAGCTAGAGATTGATGCGTTATACGTCCTCCTTGCTTACCTCCTGGATGATACAAGCTCTCCGTTGTCAAATTACGTATGCCAACCATTCCAATTTCATTCGACGTTTATTACAAAGGCTTCGACAGAGGAGGCAATTCTCCTGGACGATAGATAGTCAACGTTCCAACCGATTACTCAATCTGCCACTTGTCGCTTCCCTTCGTTCCCTCGTTAAAAGCCAATTTTGGTGAGTCCGCGTCTCATTGATCATTCACTCGACCCTAAAATTTCCTAGTCTCGGCTATATGAAGGCGAGTATCTGCACTAAATAGCCGGACATCATTGCTGACGGAATTAGAGAGACTAGGAAACGGTTACGATGCATACTAGAAGAACTTGACAACCTCGAAATAGGCCGAGAACGACGTTTGGGCACTCCGCTCCAGGGCCAACGTATTCAAGCATACCGTGCCATATCAATAAGAAACTTAGGCCACTTAGCTATAAGATCGGGAAAATTCAATACCGGGCCATCGAGGACCGTTATTGAACTAGTGGTGACTACTCCATGTAACTGTTGAGAAAGCCACCCTGAGATGATTTCACACACCCCTCGCCACCATTGCCTGTTCAAGCGACTTATGCAACTCCCGTACATGCCTTGGTCCAAATACATCGTGATGCTTTCCCGGGAGCCCATAATACTTGATTTCCTTGAAAAGTCTTGCCATTTGCCCAAGCGTTGCAGCCATTGTTCTTTAGATGCGCCGACCATCTCAAGTGGATCGCAATAAAAGACATCCATATGCTCTACTGACCCCTTGGGTTGATATTTCCGTGCGATATCCTGCAAGCTCAGAGTAACGTTTGCCCACTTCTCCATTTTTGTACCATCGAGCGCCAAGTCAGAGAGCCGAGATGAGCTCGCAGAATTGATCAGGCGAGTGATGGCATCGACCTTGGACACACCTACTAACTCGGTCAATAGGGTGCGGAACACATCCTCCGTGATGATATCCACAAAATAGGCTAGATTGAGTAGACAGTCTGACCATTGCACTTGCTGCAAGCGTGGGTGCACGTGCGGTGGACGGCTAACGCTCGCCAAAAAGCGAACTTCGTCGCCATTTTGTTCCAGGACTTTGCCTATCTCGAAGGCCAGCATTGCGCCATATGAATACCCCACTATGGAGTATGGCCCCTGAGGCTGCTTCTTCTTGAGATTCGAGTGGTAAATGGCAATACACTCGAGGCTGGAGAAGTAGGGCTCACCAGGAATGAATCCTCTTGCACGGAAGCTGAACACTGGACGATCAGTAATATGCTTGGCCAGATTCAGGAACACGAGTGCTTCGCCAGCTGCTGGATGGATCAACCAGAGTGGGGGTTTGTTGCCCTGCCTTTGGAGCGGCACAAAGGGTGTATACACATTGGGCTGTTGCAGTGACGCCGCTAGTCCGCGTACTGTTGGATGTGTAATAATGGTGGCAACTGGAACTTCATAGTTAAGCGCCAGTCTTCCCCGAAGAAATCTTTGCAATTTGATTAGGGTGATGGATGTTAACCCCATCTCAAAAACGTTACTTTCCACACCGACAGATTCTTGCTCGACGTTCAAAGCAGCTGTGACTTCCTCCAGAACTATTCTCTCTATGTCACTTCGTGGTGGCGAGTAGATCGAACGCTGGTATCTTTCGATCATTTCGTTATTCATCATCTGATCAACCTGATACTGGCCTTTCTCAAACAAGCTGGACATGACAGATCTTTCTATTTTCCCAAGTGCTGTTCTTTCAATGCGCTGCACCGGCAACACTATCGGACGACTGTTTGTTATCATAAAAACTGCTTGCCCAATAGCTTTCATAGTACTGTACCGGGCCTCCAGGTCGCCGCTTGCGTACCTAGGGACATACATGACACAAAACATGCTCTGTTGGAGCACCCGAGGAGCGCTGAGGGAAGCACACTAGATTTCCTCTGGCAATCCCTTCTATGCCTGCATCCTCGATCGCAGCCTCAAGGCTCTGTGGGTAATACTTGAGCCCGTTTATTGAAATGACATTTTTCGTACGTCCGACCAGGGCTAGCCGACCAGTGTCATCTGTGAATGCCGTGTCTCCGGTTATAAACCATCCATCCCGGGTAAATGAATTTTCGGTCGCCGTCGGATCGTTATGGTAGGCGGAAAATACGACCGGGCCCTTGATTTCGAGGCTTCCAACCTCTCCTGGGCCAGCTAATGTACCCTCGGAGGAGGCGATGCGGACTTCAATCCCCGGAATACCATATCCAACAGATGCAAACTCATATTTCTGCTGTAGGTCATGAGAGGGAAAAGAAAGGTTGTATATTGACCCAGCGCAGGTTTCGGTCATGCCAAAAGCCGGGATAATAGGGTTCGACGGAGCACCGTTTTCTTCAAGCAGACGAGAAAGCCGAGCGCAATTTAAAACCACATTGCCTTCGCCTCCGGACACGATGTATTGTAGAGAATGGAGGCTGAAGTTGCCGTTTGCCGCGCCAGAGGCAGCGAGAAAGCGCTCAAGTTCTGCCAGGAAAAAGATCGGGGCAAACGTTTTCACAACGTTATGTCGCTCCAGCACCCGCAGAAACGAGGATGGCTCGGATAAAATGTCTTCTGGCTGGACGTGCACTTGATTCAACCCGGTGAACAAGGAATGGAAGTGTATTTCGACGAGGCTGCCGACATGATCAAGTCGGATCCAATTCAAGAAGGCACCGCCATCATTCACGGGCAGTGTCGCGCATTTCCCTGCAAGTGAAGCAATTATCTGACGATGAGTCAGGCAAACTGCCTTTGGTAGACTGGTGCTACCAGATGTCAACATCAACGATGCCGTATCATCCGGACTTGAGATGAGAGGACCAGCGCATTCTCCGAGCGAATTTGTTTGAGCGTTCCCGAGGTCTTCAACATCTATGATGCTGAGGCCAGTATCTGATGGGAATTGAGACCGTAGGTTTGATCTAGTTAAGCAAACTGGGTTGTCGAGAACGCCCTTGAGATGACATAGATGCCTTGTACAGGAATCCCCGCTTTTCGGAAAAGCAGTTGACATGGCCGGAGTATAGCCTGCATGGATAGCAGACCACAACCAAACAATGTTATCGAGATGATCATCAAAATGAAGGAGAAGGATAGAACCCCTAGGGCCTGCATCGAGATTACGCAAGAGATTGTTGTTACCGAGCACCAATGTATAAAGCTCCCCAAGTGAGCCGCTGGGCCGCCTTGTCGATTGACCCACTTGGATAGGTTATGACCTCGCGATTTGTATAGAATCTGGCTGCATTGCTCAGACAGTGGTCAAGGGTACGGATAGGCATATTGATCTAATGTTCCATGTCCCAGCGCAGTGTTGTAGAAATGGGGATCGATACTGTGGTATATGCTCAAGAGAAGTGTAGGTTCAGACTGGATATGCCACCTATATAAGGTTTAGGCGCTTCGCCTCCCCCTTGCATTTAACTTATCACTAAGTCTGAAGATGATGTCATGGATAGAAGCATCAGGTTTCTGGATCTGGCAACGATAGCGCAAAGTTTAACTTGCGTATACATACGAAGGTGGGATTAGAAAAGGGTTAGAAGTGGTGTATAACTTGGCGGACCTGTGTATGAGATCGAAGGAAAAGTTTCCTCATGTCTGATGATCTAGCTCCGTTGACTATGCAGACGTCCAGGTAATCAAGGGGGTGGGGGTTTGTCGCGGTATTCGCCGCCAACTTTCCCTCATGAGTCGTCATTGAATTAGCACAAACGTCATAGACATTCATGCAGAACATATATGTCGAAAGCATTGATCGTCAGTGACTTGGTCATTCAATGATCACCCCAATATTCAAAGATTAATTCGCAGGTATAGTCGTATATCATATTTCGGCCTACAGCGCGAGGCGTAGTAGAGCGATTTAAGATACCAGGAAAAGCCTTGTGTTAATTGATAAGGAGTTGAGATTTACTGCCAATCAATTTGTTACAGCGAGTGCTTGCATAACATGATAGGAGCCAGAAGCACGAGGTGTAAAAGACGACAACCCGGTTGCTGTTTCATTCGGCTCATTCCCATCTCCCTGAATCCCGTACCCCCCTCCTCCCGGAGTCAGAATCCGTATCCGATCGCCTGCCTTCACTTGGCACTGATTCTTGCCGCCTATGTTGACAACGAGCCCATTGTTCTTGATCCAAAGGTTCAGTCCACGGGCTCCATCCTCTCCTCCAGCCATACCGTATGGACGGAATACCCTGCGCTCCGAGAGTATACCGGCGTGCATATCGATTTGAAACTCCAGCTCCCGCACAACGCCATCTCCACCACGGAATTTGCCGTGTCCACCACTTGCAGGCCGCAGACTATACTCTCTCAGCAGCACTGGATATTGCCGTTCTAGGATCTCGGCATCTGTAATGCGCGTGTTCGTCATGTGGCAGTGTACTCCGCTCTCGCCTGCCCATGACGGCCCGGCTCCACTGCCGCCGGCAATCGTTTCGTAGTATCCAAATCCATTGGCTGTTGGAAGCCCAAATGTGAAATTGGCCATACACCCATTGCTTGCGGCGCAAACTTCCAAGGCTTTGAAAATGACGTCGACGATCCGTTGGCAGGTAAGGCCATTTCCAGCTGCGCAAGCGGCGTCGGGCGATGGTGAGAGCAAGGAATGCTCCGGGATCTTTAAATGTACCGGGAGAATGCAGCCCTGATTGAGAGGGATCTCAGAAGCCACAAGGCATCGAAGAGCATATATGGTTGCAGAGTTAGTGACAGCTGGCGGCGCGTTCCAATTCCCTATGTCAACCGTGAGCGAAATGAAGGCTCTTTAGACAGGAAAATACCGACCGTGTGCTTGGGGGCTTGTTCCACTGAAGTCAAATATAGCACATCCGGCCTCATCGATATTGATTCTCAGTTTGATGACCGATCCGTCATCCATGAAGTCCTCGGCTTCAAATGTATTCTGGCCTTTCACCAAACAAATGTCCTTGAGAGTCTGCCGGACAGCATTTTCAGACACCTTTTGAACAGCACTCATATACAGCTAGGCATTGGTTAGCACAGGATCAGAAAGGAGCAGAATATAAAGCCTACCATTACCGTCGGAAGAGTGTATTCCTTGATGAGCACTCCCACGAGCTTGATACCGTGATGGTTTGCGGCTGCCTGAGCCTTGATATCTGTCAAGTTATCTTCAATGCATCTGGCACCCTCACAGTTTGGATAGCGAGCAGGTGCATGCAGCAGAGCTTCAATGACAGCTTCTTCCTGAAATACCCCATCTTCAACCATCTTAATGGTGTCAATTGCGGCTCCCTCCTCCCATAACTCACGAGACGTGGCAGGCATTGACCCTGGAACGATTCCACCAATGTCGGCATGATGGCCTCGCGAGGCGGTCCAAAACAGGATCTCACTCCCCCCGTCATCAAAAATTGGAGTGATAACGGTCAAGTCTGGAAGATGAGTACCTCCTGCATTCGGAGAGTTCGTCAAGAACACGTCCCCGTTCTTGATCCTGGAGCCCCAATGTTGAATCTGCCATTTCACGGCAAAGGCCATACTTCCCAGCATGGCTGGCACATGCGGCGCGTTAGCCACTAATCCTCCGTCTGCTGAAAAGATCGCGCAGCTGAAATCAAGCCTTTCTTTGATATTCGTGCTGACGCTAGTCTTCTGCAGAGCTCTTCCCATCTGTTCCGCGATGCCCATGAAACGGTTTGCAAATACCGACAGCCTGATGGGATCGACACTCTCATATGTCTTAGGTATTGAGGGAGGTGGCAGGTCAATAACTAACATCGATGAGAGCACTTTGACCTCGGCCTGAGGGGAGACGACAATAGTCTGAGTTTTGTCGATGACCACAGCTGGACCTTTGAATGTATCTCCGACCTGCAGTTCTGGTAAAGAGTATAACGGCACTTTGGTCATGCCGAGCTCTGCCCAGCTAACCTGAGTGTATCCGACAGGACTCTTGTTCGATTGGAAAGAAATGGTGTCGATTTCCCAGATCCCCCCTTCAACCTCATTTCCAGATTCGGCAACAGTGCGAACACGAATGTCGTCGATTAAAATGCTTCGGTTGTTCGGGGTGAAGCCAAATTCCCGTTGGTGATGAGAAACGAAAGCCGACTGGAAATCCCAGTCTTCATCTGGCTTTTCAATCATGAGAGACGTGTCACTGCCATCATATCGCAGATTCAAAAAGTAGATTGACTTCGTTCTTTTGCATGTCGGATCCATTTCGATGATAGATTTGATGGTTTCTTGACGTAGACCATCAAGGATAGGTCGTAAGGTCAGAATCTCCGTGTCCGACAGCTCCTTCGAATAAGGCAAACGTGCCTCCTGCACAGTATCCGCGAGGGCCATCCCGTATGCCGACAGGATCGCGGAGTACTTATGAATAATGACACGAGAGATACCAAGCTGCTTTGCGATTTCACAAGCGTGTTGTCCTCCAGCACCGCCGAAACACGCCAGATTATGCTCGCCTGTGCGATACCCTCGCGCTTCTGTAATTGCACGAATTGGTCGGCACATGGCTTCGTTGGCAACGGTGATGAACCCTTGCGCTACGTCTTCAACTGACAGATTCGAACCTTGGTCGGTGTTTATCTCCTGGGCCAGAGCTTCCATTTTTTTATAGCTGGCGTAGGAGTCCAGAGGCTGATCCTGCTCCGGTCCAAATATCGATGGGAAGAACCTAGGGATGATCCGACCGAGTATCAAATTCGCATCGGTAACGGTCGCTGGTCCACCTTTCCGATAACAGGCAGGCCCAGGATGAGATCCTGCGCTGTCGGGGCCAACGGTGAGTATTCCCTTACGCCATGAGAGAACGCTTCCTCCTCCGGCAGCAACGGTATTGATGTCCAACTGTGGCACTTGGATGGGAATACCCGCAGTAACTGTCTCGAACACATGCTCCAGGGAACCTGCGTACCGTGAGACATCTGTAGATGTTCCTCCCATATCGAACCCGATGACAGGCACTGGACTTTCTGGTGAGAAGCAAGTGCGCGCATAGCCAACTACGCCCCCGGCTGGTCCTGACAAGAGGGCGTGGAGACCGGAGAGCTTAGAAGGATGTACCAAGCCCCCGTCTGACTGCATGATACGCCAATTGACCTCTGCAAGACTGTCCGACTTTACTCCGGATTCGAATCCTTGGAGATAATCTCTAATCTGAGGGGTGAGATACGCGTCGGTCACCGCCGAGCTGGCTCGAGAAAGCATGCGAATGGCGGGCGAAATACGACATGAGGTGGAGATCTGAGTAAATCCGATCCTCTCTGCTTCTGATGCGATGGCCATCTCATGGTCAGGGAAGGTGTAGGAATGAAGGAGGCAGATGGCCACACTGCGGAAGCCTTGATCGTACACCTGTTTTAACGCCTTCGCCACGGTCGCACTGTCGAGTTTCTGCATGATTCTGACTTTCTCTCCAGAGACTCCAGTGAAAACGTCAGCATCCTCGTTCTCGGCATTGCCATTTGTGATAACCTTGTTGTCATTTGCCCCTCGTCGATAGGAAGTTGATTCATGGAGAGTGACTCGCTCATCTACTTCGACAACCTTGCTGTAGAGGAGACCAGGTCGTTGCACATTTAGTGCGAACATTTCCGGGCGAGATTGGTTTCCGATTTTGAGAAGATCCTGTTTCTAGTCAGCCCTGCATTTGTCCGAGCGAAGCCATCAATCACTTTGAATCCCTTCGTGATAAACAACGCTGTACGGGCTCCTTGCCTCTCTAAAAGGGCGTTGGTCGCCACCGTGGTACCCATCCGGAGCGATTCTAAATCCATTAGCTGCTCAAATCTATCCAAGGCTCTTTGTATCTTACCAATGTCCCGAAGGTCCAAGGGAGTTTCCTTATCCAGAGGCTGTCCCTGAAACTCTTGGAGGATCCGTCGGATAGCTTCATTTGCTGCATCTTTGTAGTTTTTCGGATCGGATGATAATAGTTTGAATATTTTCTCTGTGCCATCAGGGTAAAAGGCGATTACATCCGTAAATGTACCACCGCGATCTGTCTCATTTTAGTTGTTTTGCTGAAAGCGTTCGAAGGCATACTCTACTCACCGATCGCGATCTTAATGCCTCTGGCGTGTCGTACTGATTTGAGATTCATATTTACTGACAGTACTCATTTGAGACCTTACCATGATATTTGCTCATTAGTATGGTGGTTATATATAATTTGTGCAGCAGGGGTGTGTCTTCGGAGTTGTTGCCCGAGTCAAGCTTCGTGTCGGACACAAGGTCCGAGAGCAGATTCGGAGGATGCGCCGAGAAATAACCCAAGAAAACGGAGTCTGGGTAGACTAAATTGCTGTCTTTTCTTTCTCAAGGTATCTCGCCTAGCTACAGTCATCTGTATCTACCCAGCTGGGTAGGGAGTCATCGACTAAACTCATCGCCATTCTAATCTGTCCCTCGCTTTTGTTTGTTGTTCGTCCTTTCCCGTCGTTTGGCTCTGCTTCTCGACGAGGAGAACTTATTGATCGAAATTATACGGTCTTAATCAAATATTAAAGTTACGGTTGGAGATAGAGAATGATAATATTGCATTCCATGTGATATCTAACTACTATGGTTGGAAGTCAACCAAGAAAATTGAGCGAGATACCAGACGCAAATCTTCGATCGACTATCACTGTTCAAATATTTAACCACCTTGAACTAACTATAGCTGCTTCTGACTAGCAGGCTGACATCTTTTTATTTGCCAACTCCTCTGATGTCGGAGTCGCGCTTCTTCCTTCAAGCACCTCTGCCTCCAATTGGCGTTCCCTGAATCGCTTCATCTTCTGCACGGCCAAACCCTTTCCACCGAACAGATAATCCATATCTTCTAACGCAACACCCTTAGTTTCGGGAACTAATAAATAAACATAGGTTCCACCGGCTACTGTCATTGTTCCGAAGAATATAAATGTGCCATAGGTGATGCTGTCGAACATGTAAGTCACGGCGTATGAGGTGTAAAACTCTCCTAGCCAGTGCGAACAAGTAGTGAGAACAAGACAGAATGATCGAATGCGAGTAGGGAAAATCTCTGCAGCAATGATCCAAGGGATGTTCCAGCCGACGGACTAAATAGTATTAGGATGAGTTGACACCATGAGCATTGAAGGTAGAGCATACATAGCCAGCACCAAAAATGTAAATGAAAGCGACGGCTGAGTAACTAGCGGAGTTCGGGCTTTGCGATGTATGAAAAGAGTCGGTTATAGATGAGAAAGCAGCCACATAGTACATTGAAAAGGCGCACATCACCGAGCCCGCGAAGAGTAGGGGGCGTCGTCCGAAGCGGTCAATTAGGAAAAGAAATGTAATGGTGGCCGCAACACCTTTCACAATACCATAAAGACCAGTCGATAGAAGCTTAGCGGACTATATAAATACCTCTGGTAAGCTGCCGAACCCGAGCTGCTGTTCTGATTATGCAAGCGCTTACCGTTCCATGGAACCCGAGAACATTGAAGAACGTCACAGAGAAGTTGTTCATCGCGTTTATTCCCGTGCTATTCTGTAGGATCATGAGTAGACATCCATGAATGACCCGGGGGAGCATTCGTGGAGTGAATGATTCTTTCATGATAGCCCATAGGCTGTCGGTTGGCGCCAGGCCCGTCTCCAACTCCATCTGCCGCTGGTAGCCACTGAGCTCTTTTAACATATATGAATGATCCGAAGGCAGTTGTCGCAGCCAGGCAAGGGCCGTGGTGGCTTCTGTGACCCGATGCTTTGCGTAGAGCCAGCGCGGGCTTTCACTCAAAAAGAATAGTCCCATGGCCATCAGCCCAGCGGGGATGAACTGGAATGCGATCGGAATATACCACTGTTTGTCTCCTTGGGGATCAATCTTAAGGCCCTTCGTTAGTCATGAGCCTAGAAATGAGGACTTCGTACTGACCGTCTGTTGAACTCCATAGTTGATCCAAAATCCAGTGATGGTACCAATTTGGGTTCCGATCTCAAACTAAGGTTGAGGGTTAGTTGTACGTCACATCTTAAATAATAGAAACCATACGCAACCGATGATTCCACCCCTGGCAGCAGGAGGGGCGCACTCGGACAAATATTGCGGTACCACGAAGGTCGAAGCTCCGACTCCCAGTCCACTTGCGATGCGACCGACGTAGAAGACGGGGATGTTCCCTTGGCAGGCCATGCATAGGACCACGCCGACATTGAAGACGAAGGATGCCCACAGCAGAGCGAAACGTCGCCCCCAGCGTTCGTTGACAAAATAAACCACCATCACCCCGAAGAAGGCGCCAACCTGGACTATGGCATATGTTAGAGACTCTCAAGAGACTGGGAGTTCGGCAGCTAACAGGAATTCACCATGTGCGCTTGAATAGCGGAGGCATTTTGATCCTCCAGGTTGAACCGGTCGATAAAGGAGGGCAGCGAGAAGACACCACCGATGAATGCGAGGTCGTAACCAAATATAATCGAGCCACATGTTGCAACAACCACAACTAAAAACAATTTGTTGTTGAACACTTCGGGAGGCGTTGACCTATCGCCCGAATTGAATGCGAACACCATGATGAACGAAATCCAGTACAGAGCTGGGACAATCCTCTTCGAGGGTTGCTATTGAATGAATGGCTTCAGCCACCATAACATCTGGATCTTTATGTACGAGGCGTGTTTCCTCCTATCTTCTTTATCGCGGATTAAGATTAATCTGATCCTGGGGTAAACTCTATCTTCCCCGGACTGCGGGGGCGGGCCAAGATACGTCGGTGTTGAGCTCCGAGACTTGTTATCGTTGTTATGTCTGATCTTATCTTCCAGCGACAAGGAGGCAAGAGGTAGTAGGGGCACTCCAACAGATCTGGTATCCTGCTGATAACAAACTTTCTGACTCATTTGTACCTCCTAGTCGTGTCTGATTCTGATATTCCCTCCCCAATTGCCTTCCACCAAGATTACTATCGAGCTTGAATGTATCTGGGCCTTTCGTCCCTAAGCCTGGTCCTATCTATATCGTGAGAACTTCTCCAATTAAAGCGACAGGTCATTTCGTGACTTTGTGGTGCAATATTAATATTGCTCAAGGCAACGTCCTTTGAGTTTCCGAAAGGCCTGTGGTCCATTACTAGTAATAGCTTCATTAGGATTTCGAATGTGAAGTCTGAACCCAGGAATAGCGTAAACTGGGAGCACCAATGTTTGTATCGTGTTGCGGGGTTGAAGTTCGGAAATTTTGGCCTTAACGAGTAAGTATAGGGCGCCATCGGCTTGCTTATCAAACCTCACTAGCTTGATGACTCCCAAGGCCGGGAAACCGCGAAATCTCCCGAGCTCCTTATAGCGGCAGCCTAATCATCGCCCTCCCCGGAGCTTAGGTCCCAAGCTCCTCACTTTCCAGACCATCAAGGAAAGGCACCCAGGGCCAGCCCTATCATCAACTCAGAGATTGCTTATCTCAAGCTAGCTTCGGTATTGGGGTCCGTCATTATTGGAAATGCCTCCGAAGTCCTCTGTTCCCCGGCCTACGGCGAGGGTGGCCAAAGCGCTGCGAAGCAAGGAAGCTGCCAAAGCAGCGTAAGGGGCAGTCAACGGGATCCACTCCAAACTTGGGCTAATATGTAAATGTAGATGCAACACATGTCGCACGAAAAAGGTTCGATGCTCGGGGACAGCTCCGTGTACTTATTGCAGCGGACGTGGGCTAGACTGTGAGATCTCAGAGCAGGGACAGCGGCGCCTTTATTCCATCTCGTACAGAACCGCTTCTTTCAAGGCGCGTTAATTTATATTAACTTGTTCATTAGGGAGGTCAAAAAGCTTCGCGACCGCCTTGCACATTATGAAAATCACCAATCCCCATTGCAAACCGCCGGTAAGTGCATGCAGATGGTCTGAAACCCCCAAGCGTATAGTGGCACCATCCGGGCAATTTAGCTAACCAGTCTTACTCGATCGTAGATCGTTCGCCCACCTTTCCCGGGACCACCAGTAATGTCAATGGTGGTTCTCCAGTAGAGCCACCGTCGCCTGCGCAGATCCTTAACGACAGCGCCCAACTTTCCCCGGAGTCAAGTAAGTTAACCGTGCCATCTGCTTTCTATCTTTAACACCCCATTTCAGTCATCCAGCCCGAGCCTTGCTTGAGCTCCAACAACATATTCGGATCGCGAATCCAGAGTTTGCTACAAAGTTCGGGTTCTAAGCCCGAGAGCGCAAACGCAAATACACAAGGTCCTGATGCTATCAACCCTCACATTCTAAGCACCCTTACCGAACCTGAATCTCGTCGCCTGTTGGGGGTCGTTGTGTTCTATATCGGCCTGACGCAGCACCACTTCGATATCCGCGAATTCTCCGACCGTCTCGGCCTATACTTTGCCGACCCACAGCATGTCCGATGGCAGAACGAGCCTTGGCTTCTTGAGATGATGCTGGTTCTCGCCGTCGGAAAGTTATTCGCCGGAGACTTTGATGAGGGTTGTGATACCCCTGGAAGTAAATTATTTGACGGTGCACATAAGAACATCCCTGCGCTAAGCCAACTCATTACGCATGGAGTTCTCGGAGTGGAGATTCTGGCACTTGCTGCGGTCTATCTTCAAAATCTTCATCGAAAAGACGAAGCTTACTTCTATGTATAAAATAACACCTTCCTTGGGTCAATATCGTGCTCACAGTTGGCCAGATAAGTACCGCGTTGCGACTAGCTATCTTACTTGGTTTGCATCGCAAATCAGGATTAGAGGGCCGTTTAGAGTCGGAGAAAGTCCACATCAATCGACTCTGGCGGACCATATATATGCAGGAGCGGCAAGGACGCCTGACCTAGTGCATATGGGGCACCGCTAACCATGAGATAATTTTCTAGACGTCTCGCTGCCGTTACAGGGAACCCAATCAGCATCTACGATGAAGCAATCGAACTCGAAATGCCCACAGACTGCGTTGGATTTCCTACTGCGAGCGCCTTACGAACAAACCTGAAGATATCCAAGGTGCTTACCCGAATCATTACAGGTAATATTGTCCCGCGGAATCTCTTCACTTATCACTCTAACCAAGTCAATTTGCAAGTCATTTATGGACCACGTCGCTTAGCCGAGGATGCCTTCGTGCCAAGCGTTCGAGGCATCGTCAAATCGATATTTGAGATTGCGCAAGATATTCCATTAAAGAGTATGGCAAACTTCGGTTAAATCACCTCTGATTCATTGGGACGGAGCGAGGCCTATCTTCATCTTATGTTATATCAGGTATGGGCGCAGCTCCATTGATCCATAAATAACCACGTGTAGACCACCAACACACATATGCAGGCAGTTATACTTACAACCCGCCCGATAATGCTGCATTTAGCAAAGCAAATTGTGAGTGGGGAAGAGGTCAACAGTCCATCCCTTCGTTCTTCGCCGTTAGGCCGTCTGTCTCGCAGCTGCTCAGAAGCAGCTAGAAGGCTTTTAGATGTGGTTATTGCGCTTCGGAAAAAAGATATGCTCAGTACGTCTGTATTCTTGGAATTTATCTAAGTGGCTAATGATTAACCAGTCATATTCGGATTTTTCGATTTTGATGCTTGCTTCTCAGCAGCTTTTGTGATGATTCTGTCAGCCATTGTTGATTCTATCGACCCCGGTCGATGCAAGCAAACTTCTCCGTCTGGACTCCGAGATGCACTTGATACGTTAGAGTTCCTGTCTGATCGCGGCAACCATTTGGCAAAACGGGGACTACTGGAAGTACGTCAGACATGGGATTGCTTCTCGGCATACCTCGAGCGACGCCATGACACGCAAACCCAACCCCGGGTTATTGGTGGAGCTGTCTTTCCAAGTGAAGAACAATCACATACCATTGCCGACGACGCCACTTCACACGTCCTTCCGACCTCTACAACGAACACGAACGTCGGCGATGGGCATGGCCCCAACTCAGGAGACCATACTCTAAGTGGCAATGACGCTCTAACCTCGGAAAACAGTGGGCTTGAAGGGGCACTCCTTCTGGACACTAATCTGCTAGATGACTTCGCACAAATTTGGAATGGGATAACTGAAGATCAGTCATTGACATCGTTTCCCAATGATGACGGCGGCGTTCCAACAGAGGCACCACCATACTACTTGTATCCACTCTATAATTCTCTTGACTTGGACCTTGTCGAGGGCGATATAGACTCTTTCGCAGGACTTCGGCAGAGTATGTCGAACATGTGAACAAGTACCAGCAAAGCCCTAGTGAAAGGAATTTACCTCACTGGGTAAGCAGCATTTGTTCAACATATATTTTGTATCCACTGGTTAGAATATTCAACGATTTGGATGGAAGAAGTTTCTTTTTTTCATCTTCTTCATTGTTTTGAAGATCTTCTTGATGATACAGCTGAAATCCTAGGACGGGTACATTGATAGCTGCAAGCCACAAAGAACAGAAACCGCATTCATCGACCAGATGGTTCGAATCAAAGGGCGATTGAATTTTTCAGCGCTGATTGATGCTGACCGAGTGGGGCAAAAAAGTGGATTAGTCGATCATTTTTAATGCTGACATGCGCTTAGTCACGCCCCCGTCGTGCGTCATTCCTGAAGTATAAAAGCCTCCAAGTCCCTCTCTCCTCTATTCAGCATTCTGATCAAAATTAAGTCGCTTTTATATAATTACATTCTTTTCTAAATTAATTCAGATCAGCTCATCTGAAATGTCCAAGCCTCTCCCACACATCAAAATCGCCCTCCGCCGCTCCGCAGATCGTGGATACGCTGAACACGGCGGCTGGCTCAAATCCCATCACACCTTCAGCTTCGCCTCCTACTTTGACCACCGCTTCACACAATTCGGTAGCCTTCGAGTCCTTAACGAAGACCGCGTCGCCGCCCGAAATGGCTTCCCAACCCACCCACACCGCGACGCCGAGATCTTCAGCTACATTCTCTCTGGGGAACTGACCCACCGCGACAGCATGATCAAACGCGGCGCCGAAGGACCCCAAGGCAAAGACTTTTACCGGATGAAGCGAGGCGATGTACAATTCACGACTGGTGGCACAGGAATCGCACACTCCGAAATGAACGAGTCGAACAAAGAGGTGCATTTCTTGCAGATTTGGGCGCTGCCGTGGAAACGGGGTTTGGTGCCGAGATACCACACGAAGAGCTTCGCGGACGAGGAAAAGAAGAAGGGCTTTGTTACTATCCTTTCGCCATTGAAGGCTGGGGTTGATGCATCGGCTGCGCAGGAGGAGGAGGCTGAGCCGGTTCTCGAAGGGTCAATTCCGATCCATGCGGACTTTGTCATGGGCGCAGGGATTCTAGCGCCCGAGAAGATGTTTGAGTGGAGGATTGGAGGTGGGGAGGGAGTGGTGCAGACGAGGAAGAGGAACGTCTATGTGCATCTGCCGGCTAGCAAGAAGGGGGGAGCGAAGGTGGAGCTGAATGGAAGGGAGGATACAGTGCTTGAAGAGGGCGATGGGGCATTTGTGACTGGGGCCAGCGTAGGGGATTTGTTGAGGTTCAAGAGCATTGGTAACAGTGAGGCTGAAGTGGTGGTTCTAGATAGTGATTGATCTCATGTGAATTTGATGGTTGTATGATTAATACTCGAGTGTCGAATCTATGGAGATACACAGTTTGACCACCTCCTTTTGTTTTAGGTCGATTTAGCTCGATCAGTTGGACCTATTTTGTAGCAATAATTGTACATAAAAGCGTTGCTTTCTCCTTCTGTCGCCCGTAATGTCCAGCGGTAGTGGAAGCGAGGATGTGCAATTCATCAACAAACTTTGGAACAAGCTATTTCCACTAATCTTTGCTAATATGAGCCGACGTTGTTCTCAAACTACACCTGAGCACAGATCGAACCTAAGGCTGTCGCGAGAATATCGCCGTCTTGACTGCCCTATGGTCGTCTTTTTCTTCTTTTTTTCCAAAGCCCTACGGCCCAGGGATAGTAAGAGCAGGGGATTTCGCGATTGTAAATCTCGTCTCTTTTTAAACGATCAATTGGGTTTCTCAACACTCCTCGAGTCAATCATTTTCCAACGAGCCGATGATCTTCACAGGAACAGTGTGCGATTGGCGGGTTTTTGAAGCGATTGGTCGTGGCGCCTTGTACCATGGAATTGGAGCCTTGAGATCTGCGGATATCCATCCGCATCCAGAGAACCATGGTAGCCTCCTTTGTCTAGATTGTTGACGGATGTAACCTCAATTCACATCAAACATGATCTGCCGGAGGTCTTGTTCGTCTTTCCTTAGCGACAAGGTGTAGGCTATTCAGAGGAGTCAATCCTTGTACAGCGTACGGTGGCAAGGGATATTCGGAAATGGAAATTTGATCGGTTCCAGACCATTTCTCAACGTCACTACAACATAGATCCCAGCACATGTACGACGTATTTCTCTTGGTACAGACGGGGCCCTGGGCTATCTGGCCATAGAGACCGCGAGATGCATCGTATTGCTAAAGTATCTCGAATTGATTGGCGGCGCACGATGATTAGTGACGTAACGGTAGAAGGGTCATAGAGGACTGTAGGTCTGTTAATGGGTTCAAAAGCACAAGATGGAACGTTTCACCTGCCATTGCCGGGCCTCCGTTGTGCACCAGTGGTCCAAAACACCCCACGATCCGCCCATAATGTCTGAATCCGGCTCTGTGGAAGCGCAGATTTTCCCTATTCCCACTGATGACGAGGAAAGACACGCGAACGATATGCAACATGCCCTCAAACCCGAGGATATCATACCTACTGCGCCTCCAACGCCCCCAAAAGACAGATCACTGTCGGCGGATAGCGGTATAGCATTACAGAAACCGCAATCGCCAGTAACCCCACCGACCGATGACGATGAAGAGAATGAATTGTTGCGAGAGGTTATTGCTCAGTGCGGTTGTGCGCCAAACGACGTCGAGGATCTTTATGCTTGCACCCCCTTGCAAGAGGCAATGGTGGCACAGACCATGAGAGAGCCAAGTGCATACACGATCGAGCATGAGTTTTATCTCTCTCCGGAAATAGACCCCAAAAGACTTCAAAATGCCTGGAACCAGACGGCCCAGGCGAACCCAGCTCTTCGAACACGCATGGTAGCCACGCACCAGCGAGGATGTCTTCAAGTGGTCCTTCGAGGACCGGTTCCGTGGCAGATGGAATGCGATGATGAGGCAGTCCCAGAGGAAACCACGGTCACCGTCTGGAAGATCGGTGCGCCATTGGTATCCTTCTCATGCAACACAAGTCAACATATACTCCGAATTAAAATCCATCATTCTATATGCGACGGCTGGTCTATTGGTCTTCTTTTGAAAGAGACCGAAGCAGCCTATCATGGGGATGATCTCGCACCACGATCATTCCGCCCGTTAGTAGATTATATCGATGCGACGAAGGCTCAGACCAAGGCATTCTGGGAGGCCGAATTTCAAGGTGTCGATTCATCTTCGATGAGCATCTTCCCGCAAGTACCCATCAAAGGATATACTCCAACACCCAGTCATCGGATAGAAAGATCATGGAACATTGATGGAGGTTTCACCAGTCCAGGAACAGTAAATAGCCAGTTCACTTGCTCACGGCGGCCCGTATCGATTTACGCCAGAAGCCCGAGTTCTTCAATTCGCGTCCCCAGCATTCGACTTGTGCATTATAGAGCACTTAAGCACACTGATTATGGGAGGTTGTGTCTGTATTCCGTCGGCGGACGATTGTCATAGCAAGCTGGGCAAGTCGATACAGAAATTTGGTGTTACGGTTGCATGCTTGACGCCAACTGTGGCAAGAATCATAAATCCGGAGGACCTACCGACCTTAGACGTGATGATATTTGTTGGAGAGGCTGTACTGGCTCGTGATGTGGAACGGTGGCAGCCACATATTCAGGCTGTAGGAAATGCCTACGGTCCGGCCGAGTGCTCAGCTGTTTTAAGTGTCCAGCCAGAGCTCAAATGTCATGATCCATCCAATATAGGGTTCCCTACAGGAGGCATTGGCTGGGTCGTTCACCCGAATGACCACAATCGTCTCATGCCTGTGGGGTGTACTGGCGAGCTATTGATCGAAGGATTGATTGTTGGCAAGGGCTACTTGTCCAACCCGAATCAGACGGCAAAGGCGTTCATCGAGAGCCCAGAATGGCGCCGTCAATTGCAGCCTGCACCTACTGGCCACCTGTACAAGACTGGAGACCTTGTGGAATACGCGGGAGATGGAAGCTTCCGCTACCATGGCCGGAAGGACACACAAGCCAAAGTACACGGGCAGCGGTTGGAGCTGGGTGAAATCGAGCATCATTTGCGCAGTGCATTTGCAGTAGAACATGTCGTTGCCGAATTAATTCGTTCTTCCCCGGAAGATGGCACTGACCATCGCCCCGACGTCTTCCTCACTGCATTCGTTCACCATCAAAACAATGAGTCAATGAATACTACCAATGAAGAGGGTGTGATTCTTCCTCCAAGCGATAGCTTCCGCGCTGCATGCGCAAATGCCGAGGTTGAGCTATCCGACTCACTTCCACAATTCATGGTGCCAGATGTATTTCTGCCAATATCATATGTGCCGCTCACACCATCCGGAAAGACCAATCGGCGTGCCCTCCGTGATCAAGTTGGTGATTTATCATGGACAGCTATGCAGAGGTATCGAGCAACTGACACCGAGCCCGAGTTTCCATCGACAGCGCAGGAGGACTCCTTACGCACGATCTGGGCAGAGACCTTGAACCGGCCGATAGGCGATATTGGAGTCGACGATAGTTTCTTCCGCCTCGGAGGTGACTCGGTCAGCGCCATGCAGATGGCCGCGAGCTGCCAGGCGTCTGGATTCAACATTGTTGTCGCGGACATCTTCCGCTGCCCAAGTATCAGGAAACTATCCGAGAAGGTCCAGAAGGCATGTGGATTGATCCCGTTGGCGGCTGGGCTGGGGGATACTCAAACTGAAACCCGGTTTGACCTGTCACCAATTCAACAATTCTTCTTTGACAGGGTACCCGATGGACATGACAAATTTACAATGGAGTTCCTGGTCCGGATCGCTAGACCCCTCATGGAGGCACAGGTAGAGGAAGCTATACTAGCTTTGAGTGGGCGACATGCTATGCTACGGGCGCGATTTGAAAAAGACAGTAACGGATGCTGGGGCCAAGTGATAGGAGAAAGCCTTCAGAAAGGCGTATGTTTCCGACCGCACTGGCTTTGTTCAATTCATGACCACAAAGACCTGAAGAACATTCTTGTTGGTGGTCGAGAATTGCTCCGTCCAGCAGAAGGAACGCAAATGGTCGCTAACCTTCTGAATGCCAAAGAAGGGCAGTTCCTGTCACTGATTGCGCACCACATCGTTATAGACCTTGTGTCATGGCGAGTGCTGCTTCAGGATCTGGAAGATATCCTGACGACTGGTCGACCTTTACAACCCACATCAACTTCTTTCCAACAGTGGTGCAAGCTACAACGCGCACATATCAGGGATGAGATGGATCCGCCAGAACCGTTAGCTTCTAACCCACCTCCAATGGGCTACTGGGGCTCCTCGGCCATTTGCACCGAAAACACTTGGGATCGGGCAATCCGAAGCACAGTCACAGTAGGGCGCGATGCAACACAAGATATCCTGGGCAAGGCAAACGATGCCTTTCATACTCGTCCTGTCGAGCTCGTACAGGCAGCTGTTCTTTATTCATTTGTTCGGGTCTTCGATGATCGACAGGCGCCAACCATCTTCACCGAAGGCCACGGACGAGAACCATGGGACGCTCGTATTGACATAGCCCGTACTGTGGGCTGGTTTACTACTATCGCACCATTGTTCTTGGACGTGAATAAGAGCCATGACCTTCTTAGGTTGTTGGAACTGACAAAAGACGGCCGACGTAAACAGCTCAGTCACGGTTTCTCCTCATTTTCACGCCGCTATCTGCAAGGGGAGGACCGACGTAGCGAACAGGATGACCTGCCGATGGAAATTCTGTTCAACTATACAAGCCTTTTCCAGCAACTAGAACGCACGGACGCACTCCTTCAATTCGCACAACTCCCCAGTGACAGCCTTTTATCCATGCCGGGAGACCTGCCTCGTTTCGCTTTGATAGATGTCAATGCAGTCGTCATGGACGGCTACCTCACCCTGAATTTTATACATAATTCCCGCATGAAAAATCAGACCCGCATTATGCAGTGGATTGACAAGTGCCGAGAAACCCTCGAAGCTCTTCCTATTATGCTGCAGCAAGAACAGCGACTGACAGTGTCGGACCTTCCGCTATTGTCATTTGCGGAAGACAGCCAACTCCGAGATCTGCTGCACAATATATCTTCCCGGTTCGATGTCCCGCGAAGCAAATTGAGGACATTTACCCATGCACTCCATTGCAACTCGGGATATATATCAGCCAACTGAAAAACACGCAAGCATACTGGTCGCACCTGCGGTGGTCAGTCCCTCGGGCAGCGCAAGGGCAAGACGGACCCGTCGATCTGCAACGAGTGAAAGTGGCATGGCAAAAGGTGGTAGAGCACAATCCTATCTTGAGGACAGTCTTCATCGAGAACACCGCTTATCCTCGAGAGCCAATACAAGTGGTTCTGCAGTCCACTGATGCGAGCATCCAGGTGGAAGAACAGCTCGCCATAACGAACGATGGCGATCTCCCAGGCCTGCCAGAGTGTTTCCATTTATATCACCGGTTGCCAACAGATCGCGGCCGTCCGCCCCATCTGCTACAGAACGCCCCGACCGGATGGTAGTGTGTTCTGCCAATTGACAATCCATCATATATTGGTCGACGGAGCCACGGAACAAATATTCCTGGCCGAGTTCGACCGTGCGTATCGTGGGGTGTTGGATGAAACACCCGCTGAGAAGTTGGGCTCCTACGTCAATTACCTAGCAGGCTGCGATCTCGCAAGATGGAAGGAATATTGGAAAGATTATCTGAAGAATCTCGCCCCATGCATCTTCCCTTCATTAGATGTCTCCGTACAGAGACCTCCGAAGCTGATGCCCCAGATTCTTCCCTTCAATTTCGAGATTGGACAAGAGTTGCATGCTTTCTGTCAGCAAAATGGCATGACAGCGTCTAGCTTTCTGCAAGTGGCCTGGGGACTGGTGCTGCGGACATATACCGGGTCCGAGTCTGTGTGTTTTGGCTATTTGCACTCCTGTCGTGACCTGCCCATTGTTTATGCCGACCGCATTGCTGGTCCGATGGTCAACATCTTGGTATGCCAGCTATCGTTAGATAAGGATACGTTGGCTTTGGAAACGCTTCTGGCAAACCACGAAGCGTATGCAAACAGTATTGAGCACCAACATTGCTCCCTGGCAGAGATGATTCACTCACTTCAACTGTCTGGGAAATCTCTCTTCAATACTGTGATGTCCATACAGAAGGACGTTTTGACCTCCGACAGTGAGTGTGCATTCGAGGGCGCCGTAGAACCCGAGGAAGGAGTTGATGCGACTGAGGTGAGTGAGCTGTGATTTATTTTTAGAGATCGGAATTACTGAGTCACGTTTAGTTTGACTTGACGGTTAATATCGCCACAAGCCAAAGCAGAATCCGTGGAGATTTGACCTATTGGGCCCATCTCCATTCCCATTCCCAAGTGGGCATGATCGCGGATGCTTTCCACAGTAGCATCATGCAGTTGCTACGGAGCAGTCACTCACCTGTTGACAGCTTAGCAATCGCAGGCAGCGGGAACATGGATCAAATTCTCCGATTCAATAAATCATTACCAGAAAGCATCGAGACTTGTATTCATACGGAGATCATAAAATCGAGCCTCGATTACCCTGAACCGGTGGCGGTTTCTGCTTGGGACGGCGATCTCACTTACGGGGAGCTCAAAGAGAGGGCGAACGCGGTTGCCAAAGAACTGGCCCTGCGCTCGGTTGGTCCGGGGACATTTGTACCGATACTCAGCGAAAGGTCAAAGTGGGAGCCCGTGTCAATAGTGGCTGTCCTGGAAGCAGGTGGTGCGTTTATTTTGCTTGATCCTGCCCAGCCACAAGACAGACTTCAAAGCATGATCCACGATGACTTCGACTGCCCCGTGATCATCGCTTCTCGTCGGCAAGCTGAACTGGCGGCCAGCATTGTTTCTGAAGTCATCGTTGCAGAATCAGCGGAGCATGGCGAGGTTGACTACGAGGTTCTCGTATTCAATTTGGCCTCCGTGTCTGCGCAGTCTGCTTGCTACGCGGTCTTCTCTTCCGGAAGCACGGGGAAGCCCAAAGCCAGTGTTATTGAACATCGCTCTTATCTGTCGGCTGCCCATCACCACAGCAAAGCCATGGATTTAAATGCGCAATCGCGGGCTCTGCATTTTGCTTCCAATGCGTTCGACGCAGCTATCTTGGAAATCCTGAGCACTCTTCTTGTAGGAGGATGTGTTTGTATTCCTTCAGATGACGAGCGAAATAACAAACTGGAAGCCTCTATCGCCAAGTACGAAGTAACTTGGACCCTTCTCACGCCCTCCGTATCTCGCGTCCTCGACCCACGGGCAGTGCCAACTCTGAAGACGCTGGTATTTGGAGGGGAGCGAATGAGCTTAGACGATATCCGACGGTGGTCCCCATATGTAGCGTGCATGAACGCTTACGGACCCTCCGAGGCTTCTGTGGTCTCAACATGCCAGCCCTCTAGCCAGTGCCTTCTGGATGATCCCTCGAATATCGGGCATCCCACAGGAGCTGTTACTTGGGCACTTAACTCACATCCGCCACACAAGCCCGTTCCCCTTGGTGCCATTGGTGAGCTTGCGATCGAGGGTCCTATTGTTGGCCGTGGCTACGTCAACCGACCAGACAATATGAAGGAATCATTTTTGCCTTATCCAGAATGGCTGCGTAGAATCCGCAATACAGCAAATGGCGTGCTCTATAAGACAGGAGATCTGGTCCGAATGATGCCCGATGGGTCGATCACCTACCTCGGTCGTCGCGACAACCAAGTCAAGTTGCATGGGCAGCGAATTGAGCTGGCAGAAGTTGAACATCAAGTGCAACGGTGTTATCCTGTAGCAAATCCTGAGGTATTTGCCGACCTCGTGACGCATGAGGCTTCCCAAACATCTTATCTTCTCGCAACCATCGCTGTCTCTCTACGAACAGGCGAAGAACTGTTCAAGAAAGCAGCACACGAGACGAAAGCCCGCTTGCGGTCCGAGGTCCCGTCATTCCTGGCTCCTTCCTTTTTGTTCGCAGCTGAAGAAGTACCGCGACTAGTTAATGGCAAAGTCGACCGTCGCAAGCTGCAGCAAGCAGCCTCTCAGATGGTACAAACTGAAATAAGCCAGTCCTTGGTATCCCATTCATCGCGGAACTTATATCAATTGATGCCAGAACAAAGAGTATTGCAAAGACTCTGGGCAGATATTCTCAACCGCCCTTCGGACTCGATCTTCCCAGAAGATGATTTCTTTGCTATCGGAGGTGACAGCGTTGCTGCCATGAAGCTCTCATCGAGTACTGCTACAGAAGGCCTCGATATATCGGTATCAGATATTTTCCTTCATTCCACGCTAAAAGACCTTGCAAATGTTGCCGCGACCCGCCAGCCTCCTGTATTGGGCCCGACCAACAAACTCCCACACAACCAGAGAGAAGCTTTCTCGCTCCTCCCAAGTGGACATAAGGAAGAGATACTATCTCAAGCAATGAGTCAATGTTGCGTTCCAAGGGAGCAGATTCAAGATGTCTATCCGTGTACCGAGCTACAGGTCGGACTCGCTGCCCTAACAGCACAACATCAGGGGGCGTCTGTTGCGCGTCACCGTTTTCGATTGGGACCTGGTATCGATTTGAACAGACTGAGAAAGGCGTGGCAGACTGTGATGGCAGGAAATGACATCCTGCGCACTCGCGTGATGATTTTCGATACGGGCTATCTTCAGGTTCTGTTGAAGCAAGATGAGCTTCTTTGGATCACTGCCAATGAGCGCAGAGGAGAGACATTACAGTGGGAATTGGTCTTCGGACAACCACTTGCACAGTTTGAAATAGTTCCATCAATCACAGATCAAGAAGGCGAGAATAGCCAATTTGATTTGCTGATCACAATGCATCATGCGATCTACGATGCCTGGTCTCTGACGGTTCTTGTCGAAAAGGCAACATTGGCATACCACGACCAATATACACCAAACATGGACGCAGTCCCGTTCCGGGATTTTATCGCATACTCTATCTTCCAGGAGGAACCGAGTCTGGCGTATTGGAGCAAGCAGCTCCGCGAGTTGAAAGCAGATCAATTCCCACAGTTACCGAGTCCGTCCTATCGCCCCCAGCCTTCAACACAAATTGAGCGCACCTTCCACACCGGCCCGTTAATAGATGCTTGGGTCAACCGCACTGCAGCAATTCGACTCTCTTGGGCTCTTGTGCAGTCACAGTATCAGAACAGCGACGATATCGTTTTTGGTGTTATATCCAACGGACGCACGGCACCCATTCAAGGTATTGAGGCTATGGTCGGGCCGACAATCGCGACATATCCGCTCCGTGTTCAGGTTAATAGAGACCTCAAGGGTTCACAGGCGATCGCGAACTTACATCAGCAGTCAATGGAGCTTGCCAGCTTCGAGCAGATTGGACTCTCCAAAATCGCTGCTCTTGGGACAGATGGTGCCCGCGCGTGTGCCTTTCAAATCTTGCTCATGGAGCTACGCGCAAATGATGACGGTCAAGGACAGGCTATTAGAGGTTTAATGCAGGCATTCGACACTTCTTCTGCGGATGATGGGTCTTATACATACGCAGTTCAATTGGCTGCTATGATAAAGCCAGAAGAAGTCAGCGTGGCAGCTTGCTTCGATTCCAATGTTGTATCTGAGTGGCAGATGAGCCGAATGTTGGATCAGTTTGGTCACATATTGCAGCAAGTCCATGTCGACCTTGACCGGAGTGTTCAAGATATCACCACGATTAACCGGAATGATATCCAGCAACTTCAAAGCTGGTATCCTGAGATACTAGATCCGGGCGCAAGGACCGTGGTTGACTGCATACACCAGCAATGTATTACACAGCCTTCATCTCCTGCAATTTCGAGCTCTATTGGTGATCTGTCATACGAAGAGCTGAAAATGCGGTCGGACGCTGTTGCTGACCGACTGTTCGCGAACGGTGCAGGACCAGGCACTTCTATTCCGATTTACCTTGAGCGTTCTCAGTACGTGCCTGTTGCTGTTCTCAGTGTTCTCAAGACCGGAGCAGCGTTCGTGCTCCTGGATACCGAACTTCCTCTCGAGAGATTACGGACGATTTGCGCAGGTATTAGCGCTTCTATCATCATTTCCTCTATTGCCACTCAGGAAAAGGCCAGCAGGTTGGGCGCAGAGGTTGTCACACTCATGCCAGAAGAAGCTCTGCCTTCCTCCCGACGGAGATATGAATCGACATTTGGCCCGAACCAACCTCTCTACGTATCATTTACATCAGGTTCGACTGGAGCTCCCAAAGGAGTCGTTGTCAGCAACAACGCATTCATGGCCACAGCCATGGGCCACTCTCGCGTTTCTGGTCTCAGTCCCCAAAGCCAGGTGCTTCAGTTTGCCTCTTACGCGTTTGACGTCAGTATCTTGGAGCTTCTGCCAACCCTCATGGCGGGCGGCTGCCTATGCATTCCCTCTGATTTAGAACGGCGCGATCAGTTGGCAGAAACGGTTACAGCGTTGCGCACGAATTTTGCCATGCTGACACCATCTGTTCTGCGGACAATCGACCCTACCATCGCTGTATCTTTGGACACAGTCATTACGGGTGGAGAGTCCCTGAGACCAAGCGATATTCAGCAGTGGGCCCCATATGTTAACCTTTTAACGGGCTACGGGCCAGCAGAAGCCGCTGTCACGTTTACCATGAGCTCCTGTATCCGAGACCCCTCTCAGGCTACGAACATCGGATCTCCTGTGGCAGGTGCTGTCCATGTAGTAGACCCCAGAGACCCGCAGCGGCTGGTTCCCATAGGTGCAATTGGCGAGCTTCTTCTTCAAGGGCCTCAAGTATCTCAGGGCTATCTTAAAAACACAGAGAAGACGAGATCCACCTTCATCGCACCTCCGAGATGGTTGAAGGAAGTGCATCAGCAAGACCCCTACGATTGTGAGGCGCCGCTGTACTGTACGGGCGATCTTGTCCGCTATGGTCAGGATGGCTCATTGTGGTTCATGGGCAGAAAGGATAATCAGGCAAAGCTGCGAGGGCAGCGTATGGAGTTAGGTGAAATTGAGGAGCAGATTAAGCGGACCATGATCGGAGTGAAAGACGTGGTGGCAGAAGTAATCACACCGTCGTCAACATCCGATTCCCCATGGCTTGCTGCTTTCGTCACACTGGTTGAACCAGGTCCTGAATCATCATCAACAGGGATCATTCCATCGCTAGACACCCTCCTTCCCTCAAGCTTTGCGGAAACAACCGCAGCTGTTGTTCGGCAACTTGAAAGCGTGCTTCCCAGCTATATGGTCCCGTCCCTAGTTATACCTCTTCGGCGCATGTTACACACACCAAGTGAAAAGGTCGACCGTCGATTGCTGCGAGAGGCAATCGCAACTATTCCGCGACATGAGCTTGACCGGCACTTGGCGCCAGAAGCCATCGACAAACGAGCACCATCTACAGAGGCCGAGTACTTGCTTCGGGATATCTGGGCTCGTGTGCTTCGCGTCACAGCGGATGAAATAGGGGCAGATGATAGCTTCTTCCGCTTGGGAGGTGATTCTATCTCGGCCGTGAGGGCCCCCGTGGAGGCTCGCTCTTCGGGTGTCAAACACTCTGTCGGAGAATTACTCCAATGGCAGACTATCTCTGTAGTGGCTGAGAGATCCGCACACATTCCAACGCGCGAACATTCCTGGACCACCCCTGTGCCCTTTTCGCTGGTCTCAGACAGCGAAAAAGCAAGCGTCCTCTCCTCAGTCTTATGCAAAATGCGTTCTTTAATGCCCGATGATGTACAAGACATCATTCCGGCAGCTCCACTGCAGGCATTCTATATCACCCATTCGTCGCCTGTTTCTATGACGCAGTCTTTCGAAACTCACTTCGATACCAGCCGGTTTCGCAATGCATGTACACGTTTAGTCGCTCAGCATACCATCCTGCGCACAGCTTTCGTCCGTCATAACAAAAGATTTTTCCAGGTGATCCTGAAGGAGTTTGATCCGAAAATCGAGTTCATAGAATGTGCAGACCCGGAGCAATGGGTTCAAGCAAAGTCCAATGAGCCATCATCAGCTACGACAGCTGAAAGTTCGATACCACTGGCATTTACTGTTGTGACCAGTTCCACCCAACAATGGTGCATGCTCATCATTCAAATTTCCCACGCGCAGTACGATGGACTTTCTGTGCCAGTCCTTTGGGAGGACCTCATTACTGCGTATCAGGAGGGGGAGTTGAAGGAAAGCGGGCAATTCAGGGACGTGGTTTCATACCGCCTGGACGCGGAGAACCCTAGCTTGCCCTTCTGGAAGGATCAACTCAAAGGTGCCCCTGTCTCGGCAATTGACCCCTTGCAACTCACTGGAATGTCCCAGCCTTCCATTAACGATGTTTCTGTGGAGCTCAAAATCTCCCAACCACCGCTTCTGTCGGGCATAACTCTTTCCACTCTTGTTAAGGCAGCATTGGCATGGGTATTGTCGCAGCAGGCTGAATCCTCTGATGTTATTTTAGGCCAGATCGTGCACGGGCGTGGTGGCTCTCTTCCCAACATAGACAGGACGTTGGGGCCATGCCTCAATCAGCTACCACTACGGGTCATGCTGGATGCTGAATGGACCGTCGAAGATCTCCTGCGAGATGTTCAGGGTCGGCAGGTGGAGATAGTGGCGAACGACAACGTTTCGTTCGAACAGATTGTCCGCAGCTGCACCTCCTGGCCCGAAGGCTCAACCTTTGGCTGCTTTGTGCACCACCAGGGGCTTGCGATGACTGAAACCGCAGCTGTCGTGGAGATTTGTGGCATCAAACCATCGTCTGGCCCAGGAAGGGCCACCTCTAGAATGGCTGCTGGACAAGTCGGAGTGGTTTCGATAGAACATGAATCGTGTCTTGAGGTGCGCATCACTGCTGCAGAGAACACATTGGATCAACCCAGCGCCATTCACTTGGCAAAGAGGGTCGTTGATGCCATTGAGTTGTTTGCGGGCTCTCCTTCCTCAAGTCTTTTGTCATTGGCTTGACTGAATTATTGGATTTGGGTTGTGTGATTTGATTGACTGCGTTTGTATTATTTTTCGCTCGTGCTTCTGAGTATTGGATCATGGCTACACCTTGATATTGGCTTGTAATTGCGGCTCTTTATGTATTTAATGTTAATAATTAATCCGATACTTACTGTTATTGTCACTGCTCCAACGTGTGGTTATCATCTGGAATGTTGGGATATATATTGCGGACGTATATAGTTGACCATGGAGGGGGGTGTACATTTCTTTCCGTGCTGCACAGAAAGAATGCGTTAGAACAATAGAACAATAAAAAAAAAATCGTACTTCTCCAGAAGATCAACACTGATTATACTGCTCATTTGAGAGGCACTCAGGAGAGAAGTATGGGGTACCGGTACTCCGTAGAGGCGATCCAGTGACAAACTGACAACCGATACCGCCTACTGAATCCAGCCGTGGCGTACAGATGACGGGCGTCGGGGAAAACCTGTTTTCGGGTCTGGAACCCCTCCGCTCTCCCGGGAAGTTCTAGCCTTCGGGCCTCACATTTTGTTGTCAATTGACAACTCAACCCACACGGTGTAGGTTTTTCTTTTACGCCATACAACAATGACAATAGATCCTGGATTGACATGCCCTCGTGAAATCAGGTGTGACTCGGAACAGGATAGAATTCGCGATCTGTCAAGGTGCACTTTCCCTTCCCTAGGTAATGTACCTAATATCGCCGAGGCGCGTACGCTGATCTTGAAATCTCCCACCCCTCCAGATACTACTGTACATTCGATCAGGACACTCAATCGACAACTGGCCCGTCTCTTTCGCCTGATCCTACGCTGACTGCGCTCACGCAACTTGGAGTCTACCGTTTTGGATGCAACCGTGCCTTCGTTTCCATCATCGATGGTCAACAGCAACACCTCATCTCCGAAGCAACCGCCTCGGTCTCGTTACGCGATAAAGAAAACCACCTTCCCGATGATGGTATCTTCCTCGGAGTCCGGACGCTCGATCTGGAATGGGGTGTCTGCCCTCACGCCATTCGTCTTTTCACCGGACAGGATCCCTCGAAGATCCTGAATACAGAAAACATCACCGCAAATCGAACCCGCAATATCATCCGCGATTTTACCGCCGAAGACTTCTATAATAACCGCCCTTACGTCCTAGATTGGCCTCACTTCCGGTTCTATGCGGAAGTGCCCCTATACAGTCCCTCCGGATATGTGCTAGGTTCATATTGTGTGGTGGACAACAAAACACGGACAGAGTTCAGAGATGAAGATGTGGCGGCTCTACAGGAAATTGCAGATGCCATCGCCCAGCATCTTGAGAATGTTCGGATCGTTCATTATCACCAACGGGCTGAAAGTTTGGTGAAAGGCTTAACAAATTTCGTCAAAGGGCACACGAAATCAGACCTCGCTGATAATTCAAACCGACTTCCAGTGTCACGAGAGAAACTGAGTTTTCACAATCTGATCTCTTCGGATAGCGACCCTCTCGCAAAAGGACCGGATGCGTCTCTCCCAACATGTAAATCCCTCAGTGATAAATCAGCTTTAGATCGATCATATTCAACGACCCAAGAAGAGGCGGCCGTGTCCCTTTTCTCGGAGGCAAAATCGTCGGGGATAACACAACCTACAAGCCAACCATCATCGCTTGCTCCAGGCTCACCGCAATCAACAGAACCGTTAGCCTCTGACGAGTACTTTCTAGATTCAACGATGGATGATGTGTCCATTACTGAACGTGTGGCTGCGATATTCTCCCGCGCCGGTCACGTCCTCAGGCACTCGATGGATCTGGACGGTGTAGTCTTTCTCGATGCTCGTCAAAGTGACTCGCGATTGTCAGTCTCCAGCTTTCTTTCTGCTGAAATATTTCCTAATGCTATACAGTGATCTCTCCGATGTTTCCGGGAACGAAATCCTTTCATCCACCAACGAGCCTCTGGGTTTGATGAACGACCCGGAGGATGGTCTTGATGGCAGCAACTTTGCCACCCACTCGCCAGATAGCTCGGGAGATTTGTGTCGCCCCTTAAACCATAGTACAAGCATACCACCCATTGATGAATCAAGTTCAGAACCTGAACTCAATTTGTCAGAACAATTTCTACAAATGCTGATTAAAAAGTTTCCGAGTGGGCATATATTCGACATGGAGGAAGACCGGACAGACACTTTGGAACAAAAGGTTTCTCGCCACCTTGCATATAAACTACCGGATGCGAAATCAGTACTCTTCATGCCTCTGTGGGATTGGAATAAATCCCGTTGGTTAGCTGGAACGCTAGTCTGGACGCATGACCATCGCCGTCCGTTGGGTATCGAAGAACTGCATTACTTCAAAGTTTTTGGTGATTCCATTATTTCTGAGGTATCTCGGGTGCACTGGAGCGCGACGGAGAAGTCCAAATTCGACTTCGTATCATCTATTAGCCACGAGCTTCGCTCCCCGCTGCACGGCATACTTGGAAGCACAGAGTTGATGCGATCTTTGCCTCTCCAACCCGCCCAGCATGATGTCATCAAAATGATAGAAAGATCGGGACTGACCTTGTTGGACACGATTGATCATCTGTGAGTATTCCTTACCCATATCGCGACAATCTTTTCTAATCGAACTGTTTATAGGTTGGAGTATTGTAAAATAAACGATCTGGCGACTAAGAATTCCGGTGATACCAAAGCGCAGGTTGAGGTGACGAACCGGGATTCCGACTTTGACCTTGGCATACTAGTCGAAGAAGTAGCCACCGTGCTTTGCGCTGGCCAAAAACCGCAATATGTCACCGATTCCTCGGTTACATTTTCTGCCACTAGATCTAGCGCAGAAGTACATTACCAACGTCCCAGCCAAAGCGATGAAGTATCAGTTGTTATACGAATTGAACAGCTCGATTCTTGGGTGGTGCGATCCGCTGCCGGTGCATGGAAAAGTATCTTGATGAATATCATTGGTAACGCAATGAAATGGACTAAAAACGGCCTCATTGAGGTGACACTGTCAAAAGTGAAGCCAGACCGTCACCACAGGTCTTATTTTGCCCATGCACGTGTCAGAGATACCGGCAGCGGGATCTCACGCGATTTTCTCAAGGACAAACTTTTTACTCCGTTCTCCCAAGAGGACCCACTATCGCCTGGTGTCGGCCTTGGCCTCAACATCGCACGCAAATTGGCCTTGTCCCTTGGCGGTAATATTGACATCAAAAGCGAAGTGGGTGTAGGCACCCAAGTCGACATCCAAATACCTTTCAAGGCTGCCCAATCCATCGGAATCGCAGATTGTCGTCCATCGATAACAAAGACACTCGTTCCGCCACTCATCGATGCTTCCATTGTTGGATTACAGCTTCATCCAGAAGTGGATGAAGTGCCCACGGGAATCTTAAGCGTCGATGCGAAACGGAAACTATCTATTAAGAACGCGCTCGTAGACGTGTTTACGACACAACTGGGCTGGCATCTGTCGCCACGGAAATTGTCCGACAGGACGCAAGGCGATGTCGCGATCATTGAGGAAGCGGACCTTAACCACATGCTGATCGAGGGTTTACTACCTATGACTGACCCTAAGCACCTTCGAGATTATTTCATTGTTCTCGGTGGAAATATACCGCTCCTGACTGATGATCTGCCTGAAAATATCATTCGCGTGTCTCCACCGTGAGTTACAGAAATTTCTTCTCCATATGGCACTGTAAACTGACTCTGGTAAAAGGTTCGGACCTCAAAGCCTCTACGATGCCGCCGAAAGATTTCTGAAAATCTTCAAGGCACCGATTCACTCGGACCCGACTGATTTGGCTCCTATTTCCGCCTTATCAATAAATGATGCGCAAATCTCCCCTCCAACGATAGACATGATCTCCACGAGAATGGATAATCTTTCCCCTTCTGAGTGCAACCCTGGTCTTGCGATTCCTCTTAATCCCCCTGAATCGCCTGCCCAATCAGGAGAGTCTTCACGAGAACCTATACGTGTACTACTTGTGGATGATAACGACATCAATCTCAAGGTAAGCGTGCACTCATCAAAATCCTTTGAGTAGTCGATTATGCCTCATACTGTTGCATTGTCTAAACTCACATTGTCCCATTAGATTATGTCAACGTTCATGCGCAAAATTGGCTGCCAGTACGACACGGCTTCGAATGGACTCATAGCTCTCGAGAAGTATGAGAATTCCAACCAACGCTTTGCCTTTGTTCTAATGGGTAAGCCCGAAACTTGTTCAAGAAACCTCTCTGCTGGGTTAGCTACTGACAATACTAGATATATCTATGCCCGTAATGGATGGATTGGTTTCGACGATGAAGATACGCGAATACGAAAGAACTAACGGACTTAGTTCAGCCTGCATCATGGCTGTAACGGCTGTGGCCTCCAACGACACACGGGAGGCAGCGTTGAAGGCAGGTGTCGATGATTTCTTGGTCAAACCGTTGTCTCTCGCGAAGCTACGTGAATTTATGCATGTATGAACGATCTGCATCTCACATTGATTCTCCAGTCATTCAGCCAAAATACACATGCCATCGAACAACCCCCCAGATCGATGAGCTATGATTACATGTTTAATGTTTATAAATTGAACCTCTACCCGTTTCAGCTGGCCTTCCCTTATATGTACATTATCTCGTTTAAACGAAAGGATATATCTTTTGAAACATGACGAAGAAAAGGAAATGTAATAAATAATATAACATTCCCTGGTGGCTACTCCAAACATCGTGCCAGTACGCTGAACATCTCCGAAGTCTCCGAAGCCCGGCGACTTCACGTGCCTTTTCGGAGGATGGCAATGTAAAAAAGAAAAACAAAAAAAGGTGTTGTTGCAGATGCTGACGGTAGTATAGAAGTATGACAAAAATTGAAAAACATACAACAGCCGGGATTCGCTGGTGGTCACCCACCCAACTACTAACCGGCCGGCGTGTGGCTTGTGTGCGGTCAATAGGCGGGTGGGTGCCTCTAAACCGGCGACCCTGGCGATCGCCGCCAAGGCTCCTGGGTATGCTTTAGATAACACCTGCGTCGCCTGGCGACATCCGGCGAACACCCGGCGACCAGGGTGATCTAGCTGACTACCCCACTTTATGTTCCTCTCCCAGAGATTATTGGTTTATTACCCCGCCTCTTAAAACAGCCGGTGTCTGAACTAGAGATGCTGCGCCTCTTTGGTCATTAAGGCAACAGGATAAGACAAGACAGTAAGTGGTCAAGCAGTCCGCCACAAATATGACAACCACACTACATACTGGGACACCAAGTATAACGTACGGAGTAGTCTAGATAGCATGACACAAGTAGGTTTAGGGGGCTGCCTAAGAAGCAAACTTGCTGAATGCGGATCTGCTCTGCTACCTAATTGCCCCAGTACAAGCTCTGATATAGGTAGTACCCTATAATAATGCACTCCTCCCTCCTCCCCGTTGATGAGGAGTAACATAAGAAGGGCAGCTGGGTAGGTAGATCAAATATCCACTCACGATATTCACCAGCAGGGCTCGTCCCAACTGATACTATTAAATGGAGCATATGACGCTCATTGACAGTATCCTGACTATGCCGGGTACAACGGTCACGAAAGAATATAAACGCCGCATTGCCGTAATCAATGCAGTAATTAGTTACAGTAATAATATTGAATAATGAGTTGGTTTGATGAGGCGGATTATGGTATTTCCATGCCGTCCAGCGTCTTTTTGGGCGGCGACCGATTGATAATGTGTGCCCCGTCTTTCCTTCTCTCCCATTTTTCCATGTTAGACGATCAGCTCTACCGATCACCGTCCCAGAAAACTTGCTCTTCATTTTAAATGACGTCCTGCACCCGCAATGGCGGATAGGGGGGATATTTTCGCATTCTCTGCTTCGCCTACGGAATTTCTCTCCGTTGGGATAGAATGTATACAACAGCTGCTTGGTTTTTATTAGGCGTATGCAAGCCTGGATCCCACCATAGCAGATCTTACACGAAATATCGAAGATCTCCGGAATTGCTTTATCCGCATAAATGAAAGACTTAAGAAATTCCAACTTGAGCTGAGAACTGAAGAGCTATTTGAAGAAGCCAGTTTTGCCCTTGAGAGATGCAGAGACTCTTTGTTTGATCTTTATATTGCCACACGAGTTCTTGGAGATCGATACCACAGCGGCTCAAATCGCCTTGTGTATTATTTTTCAGTTTTCTACACCGATGTTCTTTTCGCCCTTGATTCCCCAAATAATTTGGTGCAGAGGCTCGAACGGGGTATTCGTGAGATACGTGAAAATGTTTCAGACCTACTAAACATCCTACACAGCAAATACGCATTTGTTAGGTCAGATGACTTTGAAGAGACGGGTATTGCCGGCCAGAGAGCTGTGCCAAGTCCATGCTCTTTGGCAAATTCCTTCATGGGACAGTTAACAAAATCAAAATCCCGCACGATGAACACTCGTCTTACCGCAAGAGAGGCAGATTCAGTAATCAATGAACTTTGCATAATTTTTGTGAAAGACTCGGGAATGGCCGGTCTTTATAGAGCAGCTTAATCTGAGAAAGGCTTTCTTCCGCCTGACTTCTTCCGAGATTTCAGACGACTTTTCGGGCGGTTTGCAATGAACTTAAAATTGGAGGCCGAATCAAAAATCGATATTGATATCGCCAACCTCATATCTTTGAGAGTTCGTCTGATATCAGATAAAAGTAGAAAGAGGGATTGAGCCTCAATTTTCAATTTTGGAGCAAATACAAGATGACATTGAATACGTGGCTACGGAACCAGAACACTTGCACGAGTCTGACGATGATGGATATATTAAGGAGCAAGTACTGGATGGACCGTGTGATGTACTGGTGTCTCATTATCATAGCCAGATCAAAGAAAGCAGGGCTTTTCGAAAGCTCTAAGAAGAATGCGAAAAGCTTTTCACACCACCAAGCACTAATGAAGTCCACGATGCTAAGCTTTCTCCGGGAATTTCATTGTGGATACAGCTATTATGGCTTCATATTAGGGCGATTATGACGTCTCTGTGCCTTGAGGTGATCGGTAGGCTGCTGTGGCGAACCTCGGAAGTGTATCAGGGTGCTTAAAATATTTTATCTCAGATTGGATTGATTGAGGAGAGTGTACCAGAAGGTCATCAGCGATTTAGGTGGATAAATGTGGTTATGCTTATCTCCTCGGCGGCCCAAAGTCTTGCTAATAATTAATAGCGACACGGCAAACATCTCTACGATGACTATATCATACTTAAACCAGGCGCAATTCAGGACATACAAGAATATCTTCAAACTATAACTGCATCAATAATTCCAACGCATTCAGGGCTGGTCCGTAATCAAAAGAGAACTTTGTCTCGGACTGCATCCATATATACTCCTAATGGCGGGCCTTCAACCATTAGCACCTCTGCCTCCACTGATACAAATGTTTAATCCCAGCACAATACTGACCGTGAAGATACAGATACTACGCAGCAAAATATGCAGCGAGGTGTTCCAATCTCCAGTCCGCTTTGGCTTCTATCCTGCGTAGGACGGAAAGGCCGTCCCATCAAATTGCATCAGGAATTCATCACCCACATGGCAAACGACCGTGAGCTATTTAATGTCCTACGGAAAATATACTTCAAAGACATTAGGCAACCTCGATGTTTTCTGTCGTTATGGACAATTAAAAGCATTCACTTCATGAAGGTATTAAGCCTGCTAAAGGATTCGTCGAAACTAGTTGCTAAATAAGAGGAAGTTCTGGTATGGTGGCTATGGTCTTATCGATGTCAAATGCCACCCCGAGCCATGTGAAGCCGGCAGCCCTTGTGCCTGTGTCCCTTCAGCCCACCTAGTTTCTCCACAGGGCGAAGACTATGCGTGTCAACCAATTCCCTCACCTCGGTCACCGCCTTGGGGTCCCAAATTATTAATGGATGCTTTCCATGATCCTGAGAGTCGGAAGCCTATAGCTTGTGAAATCTTGCAACAACTACCAAAGAAAATGACAGCTGCTGTAGATCTGGATAAAGCGGAGGTGAGGGAGGCCTGGGGAATCTACTTTCCGGAAGGTCTTGATTGGTTGCGGATTTGGATTGTGCTGCTAGTTGCATTTTCTCTACCTAGCCTGTTATTTGATATCTTATGGGGAGTGTTGAGACATGATATTTCTGGGTGCTTTGGTGTGGCATGTTGGTGGATGGCAGGAGTGGCGATTGCGACTGGAATCATGGGGACAAGGGCTTAGAAAAATTTTCAAACAGCTTTCAGATGATTAAACATGGATTTTCAGGCTTTTGGCAGTGTACATTAACTCAGGTGTCCGCAGCCTGTTTGACCTACAGTCCAGCGACCAGGGTATGGGCGAAGTAGACCTCGCCAAATCGCGGGTTGGGTTTTCACTTTTTAGGCCCCGCCCGTGGGTTACCCAGGCGATAATCCGGAGGAGGCCTTAAAATCATCCTTCCCTGGGAGGAAATCCACTGACTACCACTGACTATGTAGAATAGTACGTTATCATGCAGAACGCACTATATTAACCAGAAGAATGTCAAGAGGCCAGACATATGACCAAGAACCACCCAGTTGTCACTAACTGCCACACAGCTCAATCGAAAGTCAGGTGGCAGCCAGATCAAACGTTGCCCGCCCCTGGTTATCCATTTCTCATTTATAAAGATTTTAGCCCCTGAATGGTTAATAGAGGAAGTCGATGGTTGATCTTTCAAGGAGAGTGGGCCACGGTCAGTTATAAGATGACAGCCATCAACTGAAAATGCTAAAGTATTAACTACTAAATCAACCTCATGTATTTCTTATTCCACGCCCGTGGCAGCATCCCACAGTCGCACCGTCCTATCATATAAGGCCGATGCCACCATTTTACCATCAGGTAAGAAAGCGACTGCATTAATTGAGTCTATATAACTTTATAGGCTGCGACGTTTCACGCCCATAGTCGCATCCCATAATCGCATCCTCCAATCTGCTAAGATCGACGCCACCGTCTGACCATCGGGTGAGAAGGCGACTACGTTAACCGAGCCTGTATAGCCTTGCAGGCTACAGCGTTCCACACCCGTGGCCGCATCTCACAGTCACACTATCATATTATCTAAGGCCGATACCACTGTCTGGCCGTCGGGTGATAAGACGACTATGTCGATCCAGTCTATCTAGATTTACAGCCTGTGGTATTCCATGCCTATGGCCATATCACGCAGTCGCACCGTCCTATCATCTGAGGCCGATGCCACCATCTGGCCGTCCTGTGAGAAGGCGACTGCTCTCACCAAGAATATATGGCCCTACAGACTGCGGCGTCCCATGCCCGTGGCCGCATCCCATAATCGCACTGTCTTATCATCTAAGGCCGATGCCACCGTCTGGCCATCAGGTAAAAAGGCGACTACGCTAATAAAGTCAGTATAGCCGTCTAGAACTTATATATATAATTCCTATAACTCTCGCATCACAGACACGTACTTTAGAAATTCTAACCACTCATCCTAGTAAAGCTTCTTACTCTAATAGTTCTAAGAGTAAAAAACAAACACAGCCCCGTAAGTTTACAAAAATACTTCTTATATAATAAATATATTATTAGTAATAAACCTCTCAACTTCCTTCAAGATAGCCTGATACTGATAACGGTAAGTGCGCTTAATAAAAGCTAGATATTTTTATACTCTAATTATCTAATATTTTTTATAATCTTCTCGTTCTATTAGCTTCTAGTGTCGATTTAGCGACAAGTATGTCCTAATAAAATTAGACGGAATTTAATATGCGATTTAGATCACTAACCTGGTACTAATAACGTAATCAACGGGCGAGCGACGAATACGGGCGAGCGATGAGTTTTGCGTCGCGCCCATT